ATGTGCAATTTATACTCGTTTGTTATATCAGTTGGTGGTGATGTTGAGGTATAAGTCTTAAAATCTGAAAAAACTGATTGCCTGAACCTAGTTTGTGCTTGTCTTTCCAAAACCCTTTGAACCCAAACAGACTGAACACTAACAGAAGTTTTTGAGCAATCAAGTATTCTAGCAGATAGTAATGCTGGAAATTGAGTTGCTATACGATACGCTGCTACAATTTTATCTAACTAAAATGTTACAAAATTAACAATGAAATTAATAACATTGACTTTTCGTAATATTTTAATTTCTTACTTGAGACATTTTTAAAAATATATTTCTATTTATTCGTAATAATTGAATAGTTCACTGATCAATAAATAAATCCGAATAAACTTCTAAGCGCTAACTACGCACAACCTCGACAGACGAGAATCGAATAGTTCAAACTTACGAAAATACGAAGTTTAAAGTTTTGAATTTTGAATTTTTGAGCACACAGCACAGTAAACAACCGTCAAAGTATCAACCGCAGTTTAAAATTTGAGGAGTTTGAACAATGAATACAAGCAAGTAATATGATAAGTATGGTTTTAACTTTTTAAGTGTTTGAACCAATGTTATAATTTGTAGATAAGAAGATGATTACAGAATGATTAGAGTTGCAATGAAACCATAGACCTTATATAATAGATAAGGTACTTTATAATTTATATAGATAAACCTTTATAAGGTGCCTTTATACTATTTTTTTATAATAGAATTTTACATCATGAGATACTCATAGAAAAGGTAGACTTTTAATAAGGAAGCAAAAACAGTGCTTTTATCACACATCCGCCATATTGCTGGTTAGAAAAAAAAACCACAGACTTTTATAGGTATTTTTTTTATAACGCAACGCATGGATATTAATTATATTTATATTTTAATAAAATTAATTATCAATTTTGTATATTATACTTACATACTGACTTTTATACTTCCTCTGTACAGACAAATCACAAAATTATTATTTTTTCCTTGTTATTACTGTTATTGGATAAAAAACAAAAAACTACAATATACATTATTTTTTTTTTTTTTAATTATAATTACATAATTTTTTTCTAATATTTGACAAACTTAGATGTTTACTTTAATAAAACGTATAACAACAATGAAATTATTAATATAATTAGTGCTGAATGCTGATGTTTAAAAATAATTTATGTAGTGAATAAACGCTTTTTACTAACATTACAAATCGTTTTTAAATTACTAGAGTGATGTAAACGTATTTTTATGTATTATTTTGAAATTAAGGTTACTAAATTTAATTTGTGGTTTTCTAAAAACATTATCATTTAAACAATTCAATTTTTTTTAAATATTACCAAAAATCAAAATACACAAATTTTACAACTAGAGTAATTTTGTTTTGCGTAAGTCTGATGTATTTAATTTACTAAGACTTAAAGTTAATTGAACTAAGGTATTTTCTATAAATTTAATTATTTGAATTATATTTAAAGAACTTTCAATTAATCCACCTCTATTTTTGTCATCAACTAATATAAAGTGAGAATATTTATGGTTATAATTATGTTCAGAGAATGTTTCCAACATGCTGTTAACACAAGTTTGACAATCAATTTTTTTAAATAACTCCATAGGTAAACATTTAACAATAAAACCTTATATATAATATAAAATTTTGTCTTTATAATATCATCTAATTTATTATTTAAACTAGGAAATAAATCTAATATTTCTTTTATTCCTTCTAAGTTTTTAGTTTTTCTTTTTGCTCAATGAATTTTAAACTCACTTTCCGAATTTATGTTGTCCATTGTTTTACAATTAGCAGCATAATGAAGATTTTAAGGAGTTTTTCAACGGTATTTGTTTCATTAGCAATGTTTAATACAAGGGCATTAGGATTTTTTATGATTTCCAAAACATTGTCTGACTTTTGAAAAAAAAATTTCTAGATGATCTTGTGAAAATTGTTATGTTAAGATGTAATTATACTTTATACTGATTACTATTAAAAAGATGATTTACTAAACTGCACATAGGCTTAACTGCTATCGCAAACCCTATTATGGAATTTAATATATATCTACACATACATCTTGAAAATATTTTATATAATTATAGTTTTTTATTTTTATTAATTATTATTATTAATATTAGTGTAGGTATAACTTGCATTCATTTTTGTTATTGCTATTATTATCTATATTTTTTTTACCATCTCCGTCCAACACCACTAATATAAACTCCATATTTTAGGTAAAAATGTATAACAATGTATTAAATCAAAAATTTTGTATTATGTAAAAATTTTAAAATTTATTTTTAAACATTGCGCCAACATCAGCAACATTTGCTGTCTACGTATACAGACGTATAGTGTGATATAGCCACGGAAACACCATCTGTTCGTTTATAGTCAGAACTATAGTGATAAATTGATTGGTTTATGTACTCTGGACTCTGATATTCAACATGATTTAAAATATTATTTTTATTAAATTATATACAGAATGATTCACCAAACAGTAAGCTTATCTCCATGTTTTTCCTTTAATGTTTAATTTATTCAAATTCTTATTAATGGAATTTTAAAGATAGGTACTCAAATACCATGTATTCAATTTATTGATATTTTAGGACTTTGAGTACTACTGAATGAGTAATAAGTAATAACTGTCTTGTGGCGATAAAAAATTTTGTTTTTAATATTTAAGCCCCATTTTTATTGTAAATTATACAGTGGATAATTTTATTAAACATTTAATATTATTAGGTACCTCGTTTAAAATTCGAACGAGTGTATGTATAATTCAGTTATTGAAATGTACTAAGCATAATAGTACTTAAAAATGGTTTTACAAACATTTAAAATAGATATAATAGGTAGGTAGGTATATTGAATCTTTTATCATTTAAAAAAATTATAAATGTCAATAGATTATTATTAATTATTCACATTTAAAATATCACCAAATTCCCCACATGATCATATCCTTCAAACGCATAATAATAGACCTACTATTCTTAGTGCACTAATTTAAAAAACTTAAAAACTGCTCGTCCAAATTTCGAATTTGATACGTCAACATATTTAGAGAAATTATTAGCTAAATAATTTAGTGATTTACACTAGAAAATAAGAATTTTCATTTAAAATGTAGAATTTAGTATCTCCAGAGGACTCAATTATTATTATAAACATGTCCTAATAGGTACCTATACTTAAAAAATCCAAGAATCAAATTTTAAATAATCATACTGCTGAAGAAAATAAAGTCAGCGAACGAGGTTGGTGCTAATCACTTCATACGATTATAATAATTATTTAGATAGTACCTAATGTCAATAAGACAATAACAACAATTTATGACGTATACAATAATTTAATAATACGCAATAAATTAATAATCGATTATCAAATACACACTTTTTCTAATTTGTATAGACACGTTATTACTTTCAGAGTTAAAAAGATATAGACCTGGTTTTTGAATTCCTGGTTGGTAGTTTTTCTTAACGTATTTATCTTTTATAAATATGTAATTGCCAATAGGAATAATTGGATCACCTTTCATAAACAGGAAAAGTGGCTGGTGGACGAAGAAGATAGTCAATTTTTTAGATGTTAAATGTAAAAATATTCAAACCGTTTTAAAATAATCAGGGCAAAAACACAAAATAAAAGCAAATTTACAATAAATAATTTCAACGATTTTGATTTTATTTTTTTTTAAGCTTTAACCAAACATTCATATTAGGATTAGCCATTAGGTAACGAATAAAAGACCTTGAAAAATTTTACAAAGTTCTTTGTAAGTTTTTATTAACCATAAATAAAAAATATATAAAATATATATTTTGGAGAATTTATAAGATTCTCAATAACAATGAAAGTAATTAAAAAATGATTTAATCTTCAAATATGTGAGGGTAATTTCTGATAAAAAAATTTAATCTATTTTGTACTTTTGAGAGATCAAAATAAAAATATTTAATACTTCACTAAATAATCGGAAAAAAACAAATAATTAAAAACCAAAAAAAAAAAATCAGAAATTTTTACATAAACCCAGTTTTTAACAAAATTTATTTTGCATAGTCACAGTGATACTTTCAAAATATTTAGATTAATTTTTAGCTATTCCCTATTTATTCACATACTAAAATATCAGTAATAATAGTCAATAATAATATCTATACTATATTAATATATATATTATTATTTATTATACAAATATAATTAGTGTAAGTATTATAAATATTATATTTTTTGCAAAATTTAATTCAACCGATCGTAGTATTTAGTAATATTAGCTTTCAGACCGTCTCAGTTCAGAATTGGTTTTCGTACAAAGGAGGATTTAGAGGAGGAGGGGTTCCCGCATATTTTTATTAAAAATTTCTAATAATTCACCGAGTAGCGAATTTTTGGTATAGGCTACCAGAACAAAAAATTAAATTATATTAAATTGTATTGTTATATACTTACCTAATCATTAAAAAATAATACATGCTAAATTGCTTATAATTTTTATATTACTTAATTATGTAATAAATCCAAAATTGAAAATACATGCACAATGCAAGACTAGTTTTATTAATTAAGTTTAATTAAGATTAAACGTAACCTATAATCAATGGCTTGGCCAACAATAATTTCAGAAAAAATTGCCTTTGAATTTTTTTTTAAATATGGGTTAGGGATAGTCAGATGGTCTATAGTCCTCTAATTGTAAGCATAATACGATACTCAATAGGTAGTCAATACTTATCTAAAATAAAAATAATTGTGTAAATTATATAAATTTATGTACCTAACCTCCCTTTATTTTTCGTGTTTATAATGGTGGGTGGGTCCTTACTCCTTGTTTCATTTTTCTTTGCCTCTGGAAAATTTTTAATTCATCATACCCCACTGCTTTAAATTAATCTGAATCATAACCTACGAAATATTACTCTGTAATTATAATATGACAAACAAAAAATATAAAAATGTAAGTTAAACATTATATTATTGTTTTAAGTATAAGGTTCCTATATTTTACAGTAGAATACAACACCACTGAAATAACATAAGTAAGTGCCTGTTCGTGGGGCCATAGCAACAAATAGTAACAACAAATATTTTACAAGTTTTCATCAGAAGCACATATAAGCATATAGCAATAACTTAACTACTAGTGCTAAGTATTATATTATACGTTAAATATATATAAGTATACCTAATAATATTAATAAATATTAATATGTCTTACAAGGACTTGTTTAGTAAGTACTTCATTAAAATGTTTATTATAAGTAGGCAGTAACTAATAATGATAATAACATAACAATTTATCTACTTCTCTAAAACGTTGGCCGTTACAATATACTTTTACAGAATTCACTGAAGTCATGAGATCATTAGGATATCATCAACAAATACCTATGGATAGCTTTCATAGTCCAAATTTTAGTTTAGTGTCTGACATTTTATTTTGGTTGGCTCAGCGTTTTGAACCTGACACTAATTTACCACAAGAAATTGAAACATCTGAACAGCGAGTTTATTTCATTCGTTCGATTGTAGAATTTTTTGTAAACATAGATTTAATTATATGCATAATTAAGACGGCCAACAAAACAAAATATTATTTTTATAGGTTCTTAAGACCAATATAAAGTTAAATGTAAAGAAACTGTATCAAGCTGATCGAAATGCAGTGGGTGAACTATTAAAAATAACTGATTTGCTTAACGATGCATTAAATAGAAAAAAAATTTACGAGGATGAAGGTTTTACCAAATTGGAAACTAACTTAACATACAAAGTATTGTATTTCAAATTTAATTTGAATAATTGATGAAGTTTATCATTAATATTATGTTAGGCCAATGAACTAAAAACGACAAGAGAATTGGCATCTAAAATTACTCAAAAAGGTGCCGAATTATTTCGTTCTTTAGAAGAAGAAAGCGAACTACGGCCAGTCAGAGATAGCCGAGTTAATGCCGCATTGGATATTAATGAAGTCGAACAAAGCCTTAAGACACTAATTCAGAAAACAAAAAAAGAAACTGAACATACTAGAGAGTTGATAAAAAACATATCAGCAACTGAAGCCAATCTGGATGCAAAAATTACAAAACGACGAGAAGATTTAGAAAGAAATTCAAAGAGACTTCAAACTTTGAAACAAGTGAGGTACGTGTTTAGGAAATATATGCACACAATTAATAATATAAAATATAAATATTCAATATTCTTTTAAGATCAATAATTGTTAAAAAATAATTTGTAGATTATAGATTATAGTATACGATACCTACCTAGCTATACTAAATATTTTGTTTAAAGGCCAGCATTCTTAGAAGAATTTGAAGATTTAGAATCTGAACTCAGAAACTTATATCAAGAATATATTACAAGACAAAGATGTATAAGTTACTTAGAACATCAACAAGAACAGGTTGCTCAGGCAGAATTAATACACATACAAGAACAACAAGTAAATTATATTTAATGGTGCCTAGGAGATTGAAATATGAGTTAATGTTTTTTTTTTTTTTTTTATTTACACAAGGAATTAGCAAAAAAGATTATTGAAAATAATAAACAAGATGATGATTTAAAATTATTGGAAGAAGTTAATAACGAACCATACAATAACCAATTTTTAGAAAATACAGCAGATATCAATATTAAAGGAAGAGGTAAGTATAATAAAATATTATACTCAATGTTGGTTAAAATATTCAAAACTTATCAACTGCTCATAATAAATAATAACAATAATAACATCTAATAATACTTGTAACAAAAATTAGATTAAATTATAAAATACCCTTTATATATTTAACTAAATTAAAATTAAAAATGTTCATATTATTCATAATAATATATTTTTTTCAATGTTTTGAGCAATTTTTAAAAATATATATAGTAAGGTAGATTAGTAAAATATTTAAAAAAAAAATGTTTATTTATATTTTTTAGTTAGTAGTGCAGCTACAAGTAGAAATCGGGGTATGTTTGGCCGCTTATCAGATAGTGAAACAGATTCTGATTTAATGTTGGATGATGAAGAAGATTCCAATATAATGGCATCTGATGGAGAACTATCAACTTCCAGAGCTGAAAAACTTGGAAGTATTCACAGTGATAGTGTCGATAGTAACAACTAATAAGATAGATGATTTAAAAATATATATTTGTTTTAATATTATAAATCTAAAATTTATAAGATACATATTTACTCGTATATATTATTTACAATCAACACGATGCTACTATGTCATATGTCATCATCTTCTAGTTCATAGTTTTTACTCTTTTTCAATTTTTAGAGTCAATAAACAATCCCAAAACAAACCATTAACCATAAACATTGAAATTCATTAAAATTATAGAAAAATAATTGTATTATATACAAGTTACTATTTGGTGTACATATTATTTGTTAATAGTATGATGATTTAAAAGTATCTTTTGAAATATATAACAACAGTTTTTGAAACTTTTCCTTTTATTATAAAAAAAAAAAAGTTAGAAATTGGTAATCTGGTAATATTGCTCCAGACTTATTGTATTTTTTATACAAGCACAACCATTTGTTTGATAATTGCTTTAGATTGACCATATTTATTTAAATAAAAAACAAAATAAACATTGAAAAAAAATTGTACTGGTAGTTTTATTTTTTTATTTTTAATGATATTTTGGAAGTAATGTTAACCAGTTTTAATGTTTTAATATGTGGTAAAGGTTGACTATTAGGGGGGTACAGACTCATAAGTTTAATATGCAAATAATAGGATAAAAAAGAGGCACAATCTTATTTCAGAGTGATGTATGATAATCCTAAATTACTTACCAATACTTATAAATACCTACATATATTAATTGAAAATAAGTACTTATGTACTTATTTAAAAAAATAAATATCAAATATTTCACGATTAATAAGGTATAATAATTTATTTAGTTAATTTATTTTTCAGAATCAATGTTTAAATATTTGATAAACCATAATGCCGCATTTATTAAACTATCCATGTCAGCGGTAACAGTACTTAATGGATGATAATCATTGTACATCAACACTCTGTAATAAAAATATAATAATAACCAAAAATATAAGTTAATCTATAGAAATTAATAAAGTAAGTTCACCTAGCTTTAACACCGTGCTTCTTAAGAAGATGGTAATAAGCCAGACCTTGAGAAGAGGGAACACGTAAGTCTTTTTCACCAAGCAATAAAAGTGTAGGAGCTTGAACTTTGTGAGCATTTTTACATGGCGAACAATCTGCTAATTTCAATAAAATTTCTTCAGAATTTGCCAAACTATCTACTTCAGAAAAATTATAGCCAGCTTCAGTAATAACCCTGCAACAAAAAAAAAACAAAAAAATAATAACTAATAAGTAATAAGTAATCATTTTTCTTTATTAAAAGTTTAAAGAATAATTAAAAAGTAATTAATATATTTTTAAATTAAAACTAAATAATAAGGCTTGCATGAAAAACTTTGCTACAAATTTATAAATACAAAAATACAACATACCAATCAGGAGTATCAGTTATCCCAAACATAGAAATCAAATCGGTAACAGGATTCAATGCACATATTGCTTTAAATGCAGACTGTAATTAAATTTTTTAATAAATTAAAATATAATTTAAAAGGTTTTTTATACATTTAAAACATATATCTTTTATAAGGGTTACATTAATATATAGCTCATTAATCACAGTACAAATTAGCACTTACTGGATATTGTCCACTTAAATGTGTAACCAAAAATCCACCGTGTGAACCACCAAATAACACCAATTCTCTATTAGACCACAAAGGGTTAGATTTTACTGCATTATAGATGTCTTTAACATCAGCATCACCTATTTTACCAAGTAATGATTCTACATAATCTTTACCTAATCCTGCCGATCCTCTAAAATTGACTAATAACACAGCAAAACCTAGTAATATCAATAACAAATAAATAGTAACTATAATAATAATAAAAGAAACTGTTATTAAAACATTATTTTAAATTGTCATTACCTATCTGAACAAAGAATGCAATATCCGCTCTAAAAGATTCTAAAGATGATAAATGAGGTCCACCATGAGGCCATATAATCAAAGGACAATTATTATTTTTTGGTCCATAGTAAATTGTAGTAGGTTTATCTATAAATTGAATTAAATACTTATTACAGATATTTGTAACTAATTTAATTACTTAACTTACTGTAAAGAGTATAACCATGGTCAACAACAAAGTTATCACAATTAGGGAGACTTCGAGATGGCGAAATTTCATGAATAGAAATATTAGTAAAATCATATCCTTCGAGTATAGAAGGTATTTTGATAGCAAATAGTTGTCCAGGTTTATTAAGCGATGATTTATAACAAATTAAAACATCATTGAGAACATCTATCACACTAACACTTTCATGAAACGGTTTGGTGATTGGAAGATAACGAATATATTTGGACTCTAAAAATAGTTAAAAATTAAGGTTTTATTTCAAAAATATTTATTTTTTAATATTATATTTTATTTATTAACAAATTAGGCTGAATAACTATTACCGGTGTCAATAGCGAATGTATGTATCGAACCACCTTGAGGAGTGCTCAATACAATAGTTTTATCATCATTCAACCAACTTCTGTTTGGTATTGCCTGATCATAAAGGCCATAGAATGGTAAATTTTCATTGTTAAATTGAAGTATTTTATTGTCAAAATCAACAACCGTATTAATCTAAATATATAATAAATAATTGTATTTATTCATACTATTAAGCACAATTCTTATAGAATTAAAAAATAAAATGTAAACAAAATAACCTCTTTTGTAGACCAATTACAACACATCAATTTAAAACATGAACTATGTGGTCCACCTGCTAAGCGTTCTAACCATACAAGCTTTGTACCATTCAAATTGAACCTAGGATATCTCACACACAATTGTTTTGAATCAGAACTCAACATATCTATTATAACACAATGAAAACTAGGTATTATTATCAGTAAAATATATATAATAGCTAATGTGAAAATACTTATAAATTTGGTTCTAATTACACTTTCTAATTTAAAACAAGTAAAAGAATTAATATTCTTCAACCAATCACTAACTACTGCATAAAATAATAATATTAACAGATAGAATTTTTAGATAGATTATAATAATTATTAACTTAATTTTATAATATTTTAACTTGACCATTAGAAACTACAGGTACTTTAAATGAAAGATTTTTAACTCACAATATATTATATAATAAAAAATTAAACTAAAAAAAAAATTGTATTCATCAATTTAGTAAATCTAGTAGCCTATATAGGAAGCTAAACAAATACAATTAATTAAAAAATAGTAATTTTTTTTTTTATATAAAATTTCAATAAAAAAATGTAATTTATTTGACATAATATAAATATAAATTTACTAACCATATTGTCCATCTAATGTGAGAGAAAACACATGACTAGGACTATTATTACAGTAAATTAAACCTAATTTACGAGGTGTGATTGAATGTCCAATTGCCACAACTCCTTTTCCATCAGGTGTCCATGTTGCAGTTGCAGGATTAACATCATTTGGAATATTTGGAAGAACATTAATACTATCTGTTTTTATATCACACACAACCAACACAGGAGTAATTTTTCCAACCAACTGTTCACCCCAATCTTGGCTCCAATCATATTCTTTACCCTACACATTCATCATTAAAATAAGATTTAAATATCTTAGACAGTTGTACATTTGTTGTCAGGTAGGTATACCGGCACAGTGTCATTGTTAACACCTTCTTTATCAGCAGATGCTTTAGATTTTTGTTTATAAAACGGTTCAGACTTGGGGACTTTTTTTTCAGCGATATAAACAATTTTTGTTTCATCGGGAGACCACTCTAAAGTTCCAAATTCAGCTAAAAAATAATAATCATGATACATAAAAAAACATTAAATTTAACCTATAATAATAAATTACCATCAGCATAAATTTTTCCGTGCACATCTAAAGCGCTCAAATCATAATTTTTCACCAGAGAACAATCAGACCATACCTCTAAGTACTGTTGTTTGATTCCCTTTTCAGATTCCACTTCTCTGACCACACAAAAATACTTGTTTGATTTTGAGTGTGCACTTATCAACCTAAATGCATATAATTTATTTTATTTTTTAATTTTCTATTTTTTCATATATTTATGTATATTGTTACTATGATTTATGTGCAATTTATACTCGTTTGTTATATCAGTTGGTGGTGATGTTGAGGTATAAGTCTTATAATCTGAAAAGACAGTTTGCCGGAACCTGATCTCTGCTTGCCTTTCCAAAACCTTTTGTGTCCAAACAGACTGAACACTAACAGAAGTTTTTGAGGAATCAAGTATTCTAGAAGATAATAATTCCGGATATTGTGCAGTCACGCAATATGATGCCACAATTTTGTCTAACTGGAAATTAGAATATCATTAATTTAACATTGATATTACATAATATGTACATATCTTTAGGTGTATTATATATTCTTACTTGAGCCATTACAAAAAAATTATATTTATTTTTGTATACTATAACTTATATTCCTATATTTAAAGTCGTACTATTTAAATAAGTAATGATTAGATACCCACTTATTTCACTGAACAATAATTTAATCTCAAATCTTAATAAACTGTTCTACTACCTAACTGATAAATATTTATAATCAATGTACAAGCTTAGTTTGGTCTCTGAACTTTAGTAGTTCAAAATGTTTGTACTTTGGATTTCATACCTATTCATTAAGTAGGTACCTATTACGTGAGTCTTTAGGTTTTCAATATCTAATTATTATATTTTTATCAAATAACCAATGATGAAAACAGTTAGAAGTTGAGTACTGAGTAGTAGATTTTCATAGTCCAGACAGTCTAAAGTTATATGACCAAGACTCAGATATTAAATTAAATTCATAACTAGGTAATTATTATTCTATTATTTCAAATGTGTTAATCGTGAATTAAGATTTTAGTTCGTGGTTTTATTTATGCTTTAAAACGACGCCTCAAATTTCAAATGATTTTTCTTATTAAAAAGATGTCGTTACTCAGGCATGTGTAAATGTATTAGGATTTACGACTTACAAGCGTACAAATGTAGAGTTGCTGAAGAGCAGTGCCGTGCCTAGCATTATTAGTACCAGGTGCCAAAAATTATTTTTAATGCTTTTATCCCTCTACCATATATGTATGTTTATAGGTACTAAGGTACCTTTAAAGAGATAACATAAGAAAAGGTCAGAGAAATTTGTTAGATTTACCTTTTTTTGCACATTTCTAACATCATAGATTAGTAATATAATATCTAAACTGTATACGTAGAATAAAAAATATTAATAGATAGATACCTAAGCCGGTATCATTTATTTACGAATCAAATTTGTTCGATTGCATAAAAAATAACTTATCTTCAAATAAATGCAAATAAAAAAATAATTTTGTATCTACTTCCGCAATGAATGGTGTGAACATTATCATAGATAGGTTCAAAGTAAAATTGTACAACTTGTTTCAGTCGAAATTCTATTATTAAATTATTAATTACATAAAATAACAATAATAATGCAGTATACATATATTTATAGTATATTATTGTTATTGACGATGAACAGGTATTTTTACATAATTGTTTACAAATTTACAATACATTTTAAAACGTTATCTCATCGTCGGTCAAAATAATGAATCGACACCGCCGATCAGGATGATATTATTATATTGAAACCGTTAAAAAATATAAATTAATATGGTTAACTTTCATATATCCTATCAGTAATATTACTTAGATTATAAAAAGGTGTTTTGGCGCCCGGTGCATACGCACCTCTCGCACCCCCCTAAGCACTGCTGAGCAACAAGTAACTTATGTTTAAAATAGAACTAATTTTGTCAGTTTCAGTATTGTATTATTGCCTACCGTGAATTTACCAATTATAAAATTTGAAAGTAAAAAGGAATAAAGTATAATAGGTACCTACCTAATCTTAATTTTTAATTGCCTTTTTTCTACGTGTTTAGCGAGTCACTATTATGGGCATGTTAAAAATTAACTCAATGTAGAAAAAATAATATATTGAGCGGAAACTGTCATGTATACTGCGTCACTGCATCAGCCTATAATATCACCAAATATATTTCGTGATGTCTTTTTAAGACTTATAGCTAATCAAATCATTTATTTTACTTTTAGATTTGTTTATAGATTAGACTATTCTATAATAAATGTTTTTAATATTACGGTACGTTAATAATTAATATACATAAATACATTTATACCTATGTTATAAAAATGTAAATAACTTGAAATTTAATATTATCTTTCTATAATTACCGTGAAACTGCAAAAACAGATTCATGAAATAAATTAAACTATTAATGTAATTGTGTATAGTAAAATTACTAAAATTCATAATAATGCAATATACCTACGTAAGTTGTAAGTTTCCACGAACAATGTTTTAAAATTTTAATGTAATAATTAACATCTTTATTTATTGTTTAAAAATGTAATTTTGACTAAAATTGAACTTAAAATACCTATACAAAATCGTTTTTATATTTTTTTAAGATTTTATAATTTCATTATAATCTATCTACCAATGGTGAATCTTACATTAAATTTTCAAGAATTTTGACACAATGAATAATTTTTTATTATATTTAATATTTATATATATGAAAAAACCTGAAAGAATGGAAAATCTTACATGCCTATAAACAGCTAGAAACGAGTTAAAAAATTGAAAATTTGATCAGATAATGAAAATGCTAATATAATCATTTTGCGAAATTTTAAGTATCTACTGTCTTTCGAATATGAAACATAAGAAAAACAAAAAACATTTGGAAAGAAATAGACAATAGTTAATAGTTATCAAGCGTGTGTTTTCTCATAAAAAAATAATTTGGCTTTCTGGTATTTTTTTTTTTTTTTTTTTAATATAGGTAAATAAATATGTAAGAACCTTGTATTCAATTTTCTAACATTTAAAGTTTTTATCCATTCATACATTTTTTCGTAACATTTATAAAAACAAAAAATTTAAAAGTTGAAAAATCCAATTGCCTGTAATTAACTCAAAATAGTCAAAATATTTTGAAAATTATACTACACTACTAAAGAAAAAGGATATTATAAATACTTGGTGAAAAATTCAAGTTTTTGTTTGTAGTTATTTGTTTTTGAATTACAAAAAAATAAAAATAAATAGTTTAATCAAAATTAGCGTAAAAATTTGTTTTTCCGATTATAAAAGAAAGTACTAGCAATTTTTAATTTTTATCTCTCTAAAGCACTTACTAGATCCAATTTTCTATCCAAATCCTTAAAGTTAAAAATCGAAGTATTTTGTCAATAGCTTTTCGTTTACTCGAAAACAACTCACATACACACATCATTGTAAAATCAATATATTTAACGTTCTGCTCAGAATCTAGAATGTAAAAGATAATACATTAACACATAACTACAAAAACTGAAATTTATTTTGACTACCTAGCTTTAAACTGTACCTGATTAATAAATAATGATATACCAATATATACCATAAGAAATCAAAACGCGAATAAGTGAATATCATTCACTTAATTGTAGATTTAAAAATCTTTATAGTGTAAACTTTCTGTTTATAAGAAATAAAATATAGGTAAAATTAATTGAATATGTACAGGTACTTCGTTCAAAATCGTTGTCAGATATCTAGGCACGGTTTTTAAATTCTCGACAAATGTCTAACAGGTTCTGCTTCCACACTACTACTACGTATTGATTACATATTACCTGTACGACATTATCAAATTGTATTTATTTTTTAATAAACTATTACTTGTCAGTCAATTTGGGGTATTTAAAACATTGAAAATCACTGTTAAACCGTTTTGACACTATCACCTACATGGACAGTGCATAGAGTTCTGTTGTACCTACAACATGTCAACATACAAGCATTAGTTTGTGATGGGCATATAAATGTGCAATGGATAATTATAAACATACATATTAATTGAAAGTTTGCAATTATTTTAATTTTGTTGAGTATTTTGAGTAATTTATTATTATAGGTTAAATTTAATGTTTTTTTATGTATCATGATTATTATTTTTTAGCTGAATTTGGAACTTTAGAGTGGTCTCCCGATGAAACAAAAATTGTTTATATTGTTACATCAAGTATTACATAAGTAATTACATGAGCACTATATAAAATATTTTTCTCATATTCTTAAAGCATAAGATTATAATATTATTGACGACATTCAATATTAGTTTATCGATTAGTAAAATAATAACTAATTAATATAAAAAAATTCAATAACTCAAAATTGCCTTCATGTTATATTATTAAAAAATAGATATTTATAACTTTATTATATACTTATATAGGTTTTAGGTTAATTTTTTTAATAAAAAAGTGAAGTAAAGTCATGTATTAAAACTTGATTTGGAAATATTTTAGTTAAGTTCTATAATTTTATTACAGTACTACATATTGATTACAAGTGATGGATTTTAGGTGGCATATTGACATGTATTAAAACAAATGCTGCTCTTCACCTAGATTTTCACACTGGATTTATCTCGCCACATATGATATTATATAAAGATGTAAGATTATTAATGATAATTATATTTTATAGCAAGAATTTAAAATGTAAGTAAATATTTTTAACATTAACTTTTTAAAATTTATCTTCATTCATAACTAACATAAGGAATTAATAAATAAGTTATTGAAAATAATTAGTTAATTTAAAACTATTGGAAGAAGTTAATAATAAATAATTTAACAAACAATATTTAGAAAATATTCCAGATATTAGTATTAAACGAAGCAGTGAGCATAATAAAATATTAAATTTAATATTGTTTAAAGTATTTAAAACTTACTAGTAGTATACAAAAAATCATACAATTTAATAGTATTTATCATGTAAGTTAAATTTAAGTATGAAATTTCTTTTTTATTTATTAAATTCAACTAAGAATATTCATATTAATGTATTTTTTTCCAATGTTTTGAGTAGGTTATATTAAAAATATATATGACTGGTAGATAAATAAAATATTTAACTGTACTTTTTTATTAGAAGTGTAATCATAAGTAAAACTTGTGATATGTTATGTCGCTTATCAGACAGTGAAACAAAATTTGATTTAATGCTGAATGAAGAACATTTTTGTAGAATGGCTTTGATGGAGAACTATTATCTTCTAGAGCTGAATACCTAATAAGTATTTAGAGACAGTGATAATATAGACGATTACAAAAAAATAACGAATTTTATTATTGTTAAATTAAAAATATGTACTAGACATATTATATTTATATTTTTTTCACAATCTGCACAACGTCTTCATCTTCAAGTATATGATCTTTTCCAACTTTTTGAGGTACATGCTTAACAGATGATCCCCAAACCAGAGCACTAAACAATTACATACATAATAAATTAATAGAAAAATAATTTTTAATGATGTTGACTTACTATTTAAATTCTTTGGCTATGGTACGATGAAGTTTATTACAAAAATCTTCAATACTTTTCCTTTCATTATGCAAAACAATTGGAGATCCGTAATCTGGTAACTGTCCTTTGGGCTTGGTGTAACTATATAATTATATACATAATAAATACATTTTTTATAAACAATATTATTATGTTTAATTATGTCAGATATTTGTCAAATATTGTTTTTAAAGTGAAGGAGCATAGTATAATATATTATTTATTTTAATCAAATAAATACATTTTCTCAATTAATGTTTGCTTTTATAATTTCTAAAATTATATTTATAGAAAAAAAATTTTTTTTTTTATATTTTAAATGGTAAACTAGAATTTATATTTAAGAATAGAATATTTTTGTTTAATTATTATACCAACGGTATAAATTTTTATATATTACTCACATCCTAACTAATTTCAAGTATTCCCACATTTTTTCTAAAAGGTCATCAAAATTCCATTTATGGTGAGCACTTATAGGCACTGTATGAGGTATCTTATAAATAATATCCAATTCTTCTATGCTTATTTGATCTATAATCAAACAAAAATAAAAATAATTACAAAATTTAATACTGTTTCAGTGATTTAATTGTTAATAAATCAATATTAAAGAAAAAAAAATACAAACCAATTTTGTTAAGTATATAAATACAAGGTAAATAAATACGGTTTCCTTCAACAACATCAATAAGATCATCAGACGTAGCATCATATCTAAGAGTAATATCAGCATTGTGAATTCTATACTCTGATAATATAGTTCTTACAGTGTCTAAATCCAATTCACTTTGTGGTACCTGTTAAATAATAAAAAAAATGCAAAATTTGAAATCTAAGTATAAATTGCTTTGAAAAATATCAATTACCATAGTTTGTAAATTTATTCCACCCTTATCCTTTCGACGATACACTATATTTGGAGGTGATTTGTTCAGTCTTAATCCAAATCCTTCCAATTCATGTTCAATTAATTTTTTATGTTTTAATGGTTTAAGAACATCCAAAACAATAAAAATTAATGAACATGTGCGAGCCACTGCAATTACTTGTCTTCCACGACCTTTACCATCCTTTGCACCTTCAATGATACCAGGTAAATCTAAAAGCTATCAATAAATATACGATAGAAGTCAATATTTTTCAAAATAGTCATGTATAGTATTATTAAATAAAACTATTTAAGTTTAAATAACACTCAATAAATTGACATTAATTTTTTTTAGTAAAAATTGATATTAATTTAATTGAATAAACATTTTTTAGTTTTTCAAAGAATAATTTTAAACATATTTATTTATTAATTACCATTAGAATACAGAATTTTATGTAAATACATAATTTTATTAAATGCAGATTCTTAATTTAAATTAAAAATAAGTATGTTTCATAATATCTTGAATAAAATACAATTTTTTATCTAACACATTTTTATGTAAATACATGTTTTTAAATATTTTACCAGTAAGTACACATTTTTATATACAGGTACAATGTAGACATATTAACAATAAACATTATTATGTTAGAAATTTTGTTCAGCTTGTAATAATAGAAGTCACAATGTTGTAATAAATAAGATAATATAGATTACAATTTTAGATATCACTATACTGCCGTCTGCCACATTAGTCAGACAGCTTAGTTTCTGGTAGATATACACACTAATATACAATTATTTTCATTTGTTTGATGTTAAGTGATTTTGTGTTAATTAAATTTCTATTTTGTATATATTATATTAATTCAATTTGTAATCATGTTGAAATCCCCACAAAAAAAGCAAGTTGCTTATTAATCATTTACTTTTAAAATTTCCTATTGAAACTTTAAAGTGACGGCCACACGTTACATTATGTAGCTTATGAAAAATTTGTTTTGTTTGTAATTCCTTTAGTAAGTTAGCATTTAAATAAACAACAAAGCATGAAGAAAATAAAAAAAAGAAAATTAAATTTACTAGGAGTTTTGTAACTTCAAAGTTAACATGTTACCATCTTTGAAAAGCAAGTAAATTTTTAATACTGCCACATATTAAGTCAGATATTCCATTAACTAAATAAAAATAGCTAACTTGCATTCGTCAAAAAAATTCCTTGTAATTATTTACAATGAAACACTTTGTATTGTGGTATTGAAAGGAGTCCTATTTGGGCCTCAGTTGATGAAACTACAGATGCTGATAATTGCTATGTGGCCAATACTACAATAAGAAAAGTGAGTAAGTAACCTTCCAAACCAATTTTTATAAGCCACAGGAAACTAAACAAGTAGAATCATTAAAAACTTGCAATATTTTTTGATGATACGATGAGTTTATGTAAAATACAAGAACATTTTTTTTATTCTTAACAGATAGTGTTCTGATTAAGTTTAAAATATTTTATCCAAAAATGTTAAATTTCATAAGTGCAGAGCATGAATTTCACCATATAGCTCAGAGTATAGTTTCTCTTAGTCAATGTATTAAACACAATTGCAAACAAAGTGTTTTTAAAAGCTCTTAGTAAAATACTAAAATTTAAGGAGTTATATTCTAATATTTATGAAATAAGTAGATTCTATCTTTTCTGCTCACATTATGTTCATTCTACAATAAAAATTAAAGTTTAAACTATTAATTACTTGGATTTTAGCTCCTTTATATTTAATACATCCAGGAACGGTGGTCAAAGTTGTAAACTCATATGCAGCAACTTCCGAATAAACGCCAGCTAAATTACTCAACAATGTTGATTTACCAACAGAAGGAAACCCTAAAGAGATAAATGTAATAAAATGTTCATCTATAAAATAATTATTTAATCTTACCTACAAAACCAATCCTAGCATCTCCAGTTTTAGCTACATCAAAACCTTCTCCAGTGCCTCCACCGCCACCTTTAGGAGTTATGAGTTCTCGTCGAAGTTTAGCAATACGAGCTTTTAGTAAACCTAAATGCCCAGCTGTTGCTTTGTTCTTTTGAGTTCTGGCCATCTAAATTACAATGTTGTTAATTTTGTTATATAGATTTAAAAAATTAGTTATGCTTACCTCAGCTTCGATGGCCGAAATCCTTTCTAGTATCGTCGACATATTTAAGAACTATTTCAATTTGGATGGAATTAAATATTTTCAAAATAAAAAGAAATATAAATGAATAATGTAATAACGACTAATGTATCAATATTTTATATTCTTATCCTGAAAAGGACTACCCCTGACTCTGAGTACCACATCCAAATTCCATACACACACAAGATTACAAGAATAGTAATGTATTATATTATATTAATATCCAAGTATCCAACTGGCAACTACCCGAGATTCGAGAATTGTCTAATTCAAGTATTGTACAATAACCTCAAATGATGATACATGGAAAGATCAATTTTTTTGGTTAAAGGCGCTTTATTTTTCTACCCACGATATAGTGATTATTTCTTATCAATATCTTTATATCATAACATAAATAAAGTCTATTATCAATATTGTATATATTTTGAATGAGACGACAATTTTTCTCTTAGTCCTTTGTATCAGCTGGAATAAATAAATAAAAACATTAAAAACTTTTTTAAATGCTCCAATAAAAATATAAAATAAATTGAAATTTTAATTAAATTCAGCATTTATATCATTTAATTTAATGTTAAAACAAAAAAAAAAAGATCAAATATAAAAGAATGTTTTGTGGTTACAGCGGTTAGTTATGGTTTATTATGTTTAATAACAATAGAATTGAAAATGTTATAAACCTAACAAATATTGATCTTATATCTATATCAAAAATATATTTCAATTCATGTTATTCCTACATTACTACAATTACAAATCCTAATTCGTCCCTGTTGCATTCGATATTTCCGTTTTCAAATTTCTATCAACCTATCAATTATCATAGATCATAATTCATAGACCATTGTGTCATAGTGAATAAGTGTAAGCCATAAGGCAATTTAAACAATTATTTTATTGGTTGCAATTATCAAGTGAAAAATTACGCCGACTTGTTTATTTGTATATTTTATCGTGGACTTTAGTGTTAACTTAATCTGAAAGTTACAAAATGGTACCATTCATTTATTTTGTATTTAAGTTTCTCGCTTTTATTAAATGAGGAATATTAATATAATTGTCATGTTGTATTTTATTACAGTCGCACACTATATTGTTGATCCAACCCGGTAACAAACCGGAAACAAGAACATATTCCGATTACGAGTCTGTTAACGATTGCATGGAAGGTAACGAAATGCTTTTTGCTTTGATGAATAAACATTTGATGTTTTATTGTTTTAGGGGTTTGTAAGATCTACGAAGAACATCTGAAGAAATTAAATCCAAAGTCTGTGTCTATTACATATGACATAACTCAGCTGTTTGAATTTGTTGACCATTTAGCAGATCTTTCATGTCTTGTGTATGTTAATTATATTCTATTACATTACAAGTTAAGTACTTCTACTAGTATAAATTTTAAATTATGTTTAGGTATCAAAAGAGTACCATGACATATGCTCCATATAACAAAGACTGGATAAAGGAAAAGATATATGTCCTACTCAGATGTCAAGCCAATCAACGTCAATAAACAGTATGAATTTAATGGAATGTTTTATTGAAATATTATGAGGCTGTTTTTTCCTTGTTGACCATTTAGTAGGTATAATTGTATAAATACACCCAACTATAAAGTAATAATGTAGGTTGACCATAAGCAGTATACAAGTTATTCATAGCGATTTAACAAATATTCATGATCCTCAGAACTTCCTTTACTTAATAAAAATAATATTTAAATATGTAATTTAATTTTTATTATTTGTGACTTTTCGTGTTAACTAATTTTGTTTAATGTTTTTCTTCAATCTCATTATAATAACAGTTTTGGAATATACCAAGAAATTGTTGTATGTACTATGTACCTAAATTGCTACAAGTTTTTTTTTTTATTAAACAAGAGAATATTACATGAATATTACATTGTATCGTTGAATTTATTTGAAAATTATTATTTTTCAATTTTAATACCTCGTGTTTAATATTTTTATAAACAGTGATTAGTAACTATAATTTGATAAAAAATAATTGATGTTAACAAATTCACAATACTATGGATAAATAATAGTATATCTTATTGGCTATTGTTATTCCAGATACTATTATAGAATTCTATAATCAAGGGTATTGGTTTTGAATAGCTATAGAATAAAAACTATTGAACTTACAGAAATAAAGTTTGTATTTTTCGATTCAGTAGTGTATTTAGTTATTTATGTTGTTTTAAAGATAACATTTTTAAAATGTAGAAAACTACTAGAATTGCCTACAAAAGTACATCACTACTAATGGCTGTTATCTTTAAAACTCAATGTAAAAAACTAAAAACACTACTGAATCGAAAAATATAAACTTTATTTTTGTAAGTTCAATGATTTTTATTCTATAGCCTTTCAAAACCGATAAATATCTAATTCCTCATTTTATAAATGATTAGGTTAATAGTTGAAGAAATTAATTTTAATATTATAACCCTTTAATTAATGACTCCATGTCAATAACAAATGGTATTGTATATAAATAAAATTTGAGTTGGAAGGTAGTAGAAAAAAGTGAATTTGTTGTACTAAAATACGTGACAAATTTGATGTTCTTATATTCTATTATAGTGAAAACGGTAATGCAAACCTTGAATCAAACTGTAAACTATCCAATAAGGAATTTTTCTACGATCCTGACATGTTCCTATAGTTTTATATAGATGTTAAACCTCAATAAAACGGAATGATTTTGTAGGTCTCATGCAAGTAAAACCTTTGCCTAAGCTGAAAATATGACACGTGTCACATTACGTTGAAATGAATATGTAATTTGTATTTTTGGTTATTGTATCTGCGATACAAACTTATCCCATATGTTTAACAGTGATACAGTTATGCACCAACAATCTACACTGAACAGTTTGCTTGTACATACAAAGTAACAGTCATTCAAATACGTATAAAAATGTCAAAGTAAACGTATCTATCATTAAATGTAAAATATCAACTTATCGATATAAGCAAAAAACGACATTCAGTAAAACAATTGTAAAAGCCTCATTGAGATAAAAAATCTACAACAGTTTGCTATTGAGTAATATAATATTTAATATATTGAGTATTGTAGTTTTATCTCCTGTAGTTAGTTTATTATAAATAGGTACCTGTGTTATTTGTAAATTTTATAAGTGCACAGTGTGAATGTGCAGATTATGCTAAAATTGCATTAAGAGACTTGATGGACTTTTCAACAGCTTATCTGTGTGAACAAACAAGCTTTTTCTACTTTAATTTTTTTTTTTTTTAATAAATATAGAAATAAACTCAATGTTGAGAGTGATTTAAGGCTAAAACTATCCAGTTTTAATTCAGATATTGACTATCATGGGGAACAAGCAATGTTAAAAATCACATTAAATTGTTTAATTTGTGATTAAATTAAATAAAGTTTTTTTTGAATAAACAATTATTTGTTAATTATTTTATTTTTAATAAATAATAAATATATATAATATGCATACGTTTATAGGTGTGCTATTAGTGGGGTCTCTAAGATTTTTTTAGAAAATCAGTGGTCTGCATAATTAAAAAGGTTGGGTACCACTACTCTAATAGGTTCATTTCTCTGTTGATTAGGAATCAGTTGCTCATGACAGTCTTATTTATATATACAGATTAATTGAATATTTTTTTAAAGATTTTCATTTAATAGAACAATTATTGAGATGATAAAAAAGATGTTAACAAATAGTTTTTTAAGTTTTCTTGGTTTGTATAAACTGTTTTTATAAATAATTTTGTAATCGCATAACTATTACTTATTACTTATTAGTATAACTGATACAAGTTATTACTACTAATCATACGTAATATTTATTACTGGTATACTTTTTTATCATTAAATTTCAATTTTGAAATATTTTATAACTAATAAGCTTACTTGTAGAAAATATTTTATTTTAAATCATTTAAGAAGACATAATTTCTTAAATGATGCTTGAATTCAGGCACAAATTCAAGGGGATGTGTGCTTCACACTCCCTGCCGTCTAAGTCATCAACAAAATACATTTTTATTATAAACAACATAATTTGTGTTATTTTTTAAAATAAAAATAATAATAATATTAATGGTGTTTTCCACTGTTGTTGTCACTTATTGCGATATTTGAAAAAAGTTAACATTAATTAATCAAATAGAAAATAGAAAGGTGTAACAATATTTATTTTTTTTTGAGTACCCCTGTTAAAATTTTTTTGGATCCGCATCTGCTTGTGCTGTTCATAAATCATCATATTTAATAACAACTTCATAAAAATTAACAGTAGTTAAAAATAAATTATATATACATAATTTTTAGATCATATTCATTAATTTACATATGATGTTTTTAGAACTGAGATTGATCAGATGATTCTTTTTGGCGTGTAATTAACTTGTAATAATATTTCTTTTTAGCTTTTAGTTCTTCGTGATTACCTTGCTCAACAATTTTACCATTGTGAACTACAGCAATAGAATCAGCTAATTGAATTGTAGAAAGACAATGAGTAATAATAATGCAAGTGCGATCTTTACGAACTGCCTCTAATATGTCTTGCATAATCTGGAAACATTAAATTGCGATAGAAATTATTATATTTAGTGCCTACTCTATATAATATATCAATTCACTACTTCATTTTCAGTATCCAATGCTGTTGTAACTTCATCTATTAAAAGTATTTTAGGATTCCTAATTAATGCACGTGCAATTGCTATTTGTTGTTTTTGTCCATCAGACAATTGACTTCCATTATCCTCAATCAGTGTTTTATAACCCTAAAAACAGAAATTTAATTTAAGATATAAAAATGAATTTCTTTCAAAATATTGACTATCGTTTACTTCAGCTAAAGTTTTTATAAAATTATGAATATTTGCTTTTTTTGCCACATCAATTATTTCATTTATGGAGACGTCTCTGTTGACTACACCATATGCTATATTATCTCTTATTGAACTGTTAAATAACATAGGCTTTTGAGTAACAATTCCAATATTTTGCCTTAAATGGCATAAATTCATTGTTCGTATATCATGATTATCAACTTCCTAAATAAAATTTGTACTTCAATAAATAGTACGTCTAGGTATCATAACTATTTTAATATTGATAATAATTTAGTATAAATTTAATAAATCATATAAATTATTATTTATAAATCAAACAACATACAATCATTCCTTTTGATGGATCATAGAACCGTTCAAGTAAAGATACTATAGTGCTTTTACCACATCCAGATTCACCAACTATTGCCAATGTCTTACCAGGTTCAACTATAAAGTTAATACCTTGCAATACATGTACATTGGGTTCGGAAGGATACTGAAATATGACATCTTTAAATTGGACTTTGCCTTTAATTGTCTGTATGGTAAATTAAATACATTAAATATAATATTATTGACATATTATGATAATTTTATTATGTAATATGGTTTTACTGGTTTGGATCCTGAAGTTGATAGAGGGTCAATTTCTGATTGTCTCCAAATTAGTTGAAAAATGAGTGATGCTGCATTCTTAGCTCTAGAACTCCCTTGCAGATAAGCTGACGTTTGACCAACAGAAGCAGCACAAAATGCTAATGCAAAAAACACCCTAAGAAATAAATTTAAATAGAGAAAGCAATAATATACATTTAACATGTATCTATTTCAGTATTACCTATAAATATCTGTAGCTGACATATCTCCAATTTCTACAAGATATGCTCCATATCTAAATGAAACTGAATACATTCCATATATAACGGCTTGAGAAACAGCATACATAATTGCAAATGAAAATGCTTGTTTTTTAGCAGTTTTAAATGGATCTATCAAACTACTTTCATACAGTGAAACAAACATTAACTCTTGTGCTAAACTTTGAACTGTTTTTATACTTGAAATAGTTTCAGATGAAATCTATAATTAGTTTATGAACTTTGTATGTAAGACAGATTCATAAAAATAAGGCCTTAAAAGTTAAATAAATTCAAAAATATATTTATTATACCATACACTATACAGGTACTATATATTACATGATTTGCATATTAGCTGGTATACTCAATCATAGTACCTTGTACTTATGTAAAATATTGATCTATAATTGATATAAAAGTTGTAATTACTAATTTTTTTACCTCGTTAGCTTTAGCCATAAATTCAAAATCTCGTTTTTGACTTTTTTGAACCATCATTAATTGTTTATAAGCAGCACCAGCAATTATTGGTACACCAATGACTAATACTATAGCAAATTTCCAGCCAAACACGAAAGAGATAATAATTGCAGATGACAGTGTTACAAATGCTGATATTATTTGAGCCACTCTTAAACTACCAGCCTAAAATAATAAAAATCTTAGATATTTTTAAATGTTTGTTTGTTAACTATACTTGCAGATTTCACGAGTGGAGCTTCTCTATCTAGTCTGTTGATAATAACACTAGGTGATGAACTTTTAAAATCAAACCAGAATACAGGTTGACGTAATACATTTTCAAACGCATATATTCTCATACGCATAATAAGCTTTTCACAAGCGTGGGTAAATCCAAAGGTCTTTAAAAAATAATTTATTAAAAACAATACCTATAGTAATATTGTAATTTTAACTTTTTACCTGCATCCACCATGCTAATCCAGATAGTAAAGCTAATATAATAAACATTTTAGACCAAAAAGCTGCTTCTTGTAATAGATCATTGCCTTTAAGTGTGAATGTCTTAAAAAAATAATAATAAATAATAATAATATAATTATTGGACTATTGATCAATTTTATACTAACAGCAAACACTTGGCCATAAAAAACAGAAAACACTGGCATTATGGCACCGGTTAAAACACAACCTATAAAACCCATCACTAACCATGGCCATTCTGGATAATTGAATCTAAGTATATCCACCGTACAAACATTTTCAATTTCAGGCTGAAATAATAATTTATAAAATATATGTATAATTATTTAATAAATCCTAATAATTTTTAAATATTTTAATTTTTCACATAGAAAATTATACAATCTGTACCTACTCTTATATGGCATAATAACCATAAGTGAATATGATAGAAATAAAAAACAATAGGTACTACTAATTATTAATAATCAAAGTATTTACAAGTAATTTTTACTTATATTTATAACACTAATATTATTTTGCATGAAAAGTACATGATTTGAAGACACCATCCAGCGATAGTACTTCGGCGGGAATATACATTTTCAAATATAAAGTTTATTTTACCTAGACAAAGTTGGACATTAATGTGTTGAAAAGTTTTAATGTTACAAGGAATGTAAATAAATAAAACTTTATACGCATTTCCATAGAAAATTTCAACCTTTCCAAACAAAATATTAATTTCAAATCTTTCAACAATAACATTACCTACTAGATAACCCAGTTCAGCATTTAAAAATATACTAATGTTATGATATATTAAAAAGTTACTTTCTTTAAACTTAACTTATAAGTTATAGGTTAAAAATTAGATTAACTTAACTTTAAAGAGTTAGAAAAATTAATGAACTTACCCAATTTTATACATTATTAAATACTAACATAAAATAAATACATAATTTTTAGTAAAAATTACCAAAATATTTTGTTTGTTAATGTATTGATAACCATTTTTAGAAGTCAAAGAAAATTCTGTATTTTGATTAAATTCTATATCTGATGTTTCCCATCTAATATAATATTTAGAATGAATTGATTATTAAAATCTTAAAGCTTATGTATGCAAAGTAGACTCTTACTGAGAATAATCATCAAATTGACTCATTGATCTTATTGAGGTACTTCCTTTGTAATTATTTGGACGATTATCACTTGATTCTAATTCACTATCTGTACTTCCCTATATATTTAAAACTGTTAGAAATTAATAATTTATTTTAAATTTTAACAAAAGTTACATACTTGTTCTAAATAGATGATACGTTTTACTTTACGTGAAGATATTTTTCTAGTAACATTTACAATAAAGCCATCACTATTTTCAGTAAAAAAATTATCTGTGACTACATTTTCAGGTTCAATAAATTTTTCTAAAACTGATGTCTTTCTTGTTGTTATGATTTCAGTATTATCACTATCAATTATAGCTTGATTTCTAAAATAAATTAATTAAAATTAAAAAAAAAAATAATTATAAACAATTTAAATTATTACTAATGTATTACTATTTATTACATACTCAATATTTTCATTGGCTACAGCATCATCAACTTTGGAATGAGATTTAAGTTCTGGATTCTAATTTAAAATTTAAGAAAAACAAGAATAATTGAGTTTCTAAGAAGTACAAAGTTAAATGCTTATATCTACTTGCCTATTGTATTTAATTAAACTTACTTTTAAACTAATTTGTTTGTTCTCAGGTTGACTTGTTGATGGTGTAACATATTCTACATTCATACTTTTATTATCTGATGTAGACTCATCTATTATATCTCCATCAGATTCTAAAGAATCCTCTCCATTACTTTTATTATTTTCTTGTTTCACTTGGGTGTTAAATAAATTTGTATATAGGCCATTCCTTGACATCAAAATGTCATGTGTCCCAGACTCTACTATATGTCCATCCTACACAATTAAATTTATAACAATAATTGTATCAACAAAATTTATAAATATTTATGTGATTTAGAGTTATACTTGTAAAACAAAAATAATATCAATATTTCGTAATGTGGACAGTCTATGAGTAAGAATAATAGTACTTCTATCTTGTTGAGCTTTATCCAAGGCTTCTTGTACAATTTCTTCACTTTGTGCATCTAGCCCTAAAGTAGCTTCGTCCAATAATAATATTTTTGGATCTTTGACTAAAGCTCTTGCAATATTAATTCTCTGTTTTTGATCACCGGAAAGTTGAAAACCTTTGTCCCCAATTAATGTATCATAACCCTGTACACATTTTATTTATATGTCCAGATTTTTCAAAAAGTAAGATTATTAGATTAATATAAACAATATTTAACCTTAGGTAATTTTATGATAAAACTATGGGCATTAGCTGTCATTGCAGCAGCTATAATATCTTGTCGAGTACAATCTGATTGACCATATCTGATGTTTTCAGCAATGGAAACACTAAATAATACTGGTGCTTGAGTTATAACTCCAATGTTTTGACGAAGCCAATGTACATTTAAATATTTTAAATCAAAATTATCCAACAATACCTAAAGAAAATAATTTATCATTATTACTTTAAATTATCATTATTACAAGGGCCTATTATAGTATGTTTTAGAGCACAAAATGTGCACTCTAGTTTTTCAATGTTTGCCTTAAAAAAATTAATTTCAGCTAAATAAAATAATATACTACTATACATAATATACATTTCTCTGTCTACTTTCAGTGGTAAGGGTTAAGTCCTAATTTTATTACTTTTTAGAAACTGGCTTATGCTAAAAAGAATACAATTGTCAATTTTACTTACTTGACCTTCTGTAGGATCATAGAAACGTAATAATAAACTTCCAATTGTACTTTTACCACTTCCATTAGAACCGACCAATGCTACAGTTTGCCCAGATTCAATTGTTAATGATAAGTTATTCAAAATCTTTATTTAAACAATTAACAATATTTTACTTTCTATTATTGTAGCAATTGTATCTATGATACAAATAGTATAGCTTACTGATGTAGAACATTTTGTTGGATAGGTAAAGTAAACATTTTTAAATTCAATTTTTCCTTGAATTTTATTAATTTTTTTTCCTTGTGATGAATAAGGATCAATTTTGGGTTTATTATCAATTATATCAAATATATTTGATGCTGCTCCAATAGCTATGCTTACTAAATTTATAAATGGTAAAGCATTTCCCACAGAAAAAGCTCCAGCCATTACACTAAAAAATACCTGAGGTACATTAATTATAGTATTAAAATTTAAATTATGTAATCATTTTTGAATCAGGTAGGTACCGTGAAAATGCTCCCAGGCGATGAAATTTTATTAACAATTAAATTAGATCCATACCAGAATCCTATTCCATATGCTGAATATATGATCACAAATATAGAACCCAACAATATTGAGAACACATAGTATTTTTTCATAACTAATTTTCGACCTTCTTCTATAGCTATCTTATATCTATAACATTGGTTTGTATTTATATTTTAACAAGAATATTTCTTTGACGTCATATTTAATCTACCTTTTAGATTCTCTAAGTTCTCCTCCAAATGCTGCTACTGTCCGGATATTTAATAAGACCTCTTTAGCTATACTTCCAGCAAAGCCATATTTGATTTGCTCTCTAACGGCTGTACTTGCTGAAACCTGTAACAAAATAAAATAAATTTTCATATAGCACTATTTTAGATCAAACATTTTACTATAGCTAGTGCTCCAGAAATGGCAACTAAAAATGGTGTGATACAAAGTATGACTGAAGTTAATCTCCAATTGACATAAATTCCAATTAGTATACCAGTGAAAAGAGTGCTTATGTATTGTGTAATCATACTGAATTTACTGCTAATACCTTCACGAAATTTTTCCAGATCGCTAAAAAATAAAAATACATTCTTATAGAACTAAATTTTGAATAAAAGTTAATAATTTTGAATAAAAATTATCACTCATAATTTCATACTCTGATAACTTTGTTGTTAAATCTCCATCATCACTTAAGTCATACCAACTAATTTCTTGTCTAAGGATTTGGCTATAAAATTCCTTATGCAATCGATGAACTTGTCTTTCACAAGCAATCTCCCAACAATAAGTCTAAAAAGGATAATTGTAGTAATTTATGATTTCATAATTAGTATTAGGAAGTACCTTCTATTATAAAAAATTTATAATTACTTTCAGTTCTTATTTAATATTTATAAACCAGGTACTTAATCAATTACACTAATTCTATAATTATTGAAATTTGTCTTACTTGTATGAATGCAGCAAGTAATACTATGCATCCTATATATAAGTAATATAAAGAATACTTAGTCATATAGTTATAAAATTCTTCAGGGCTTAACATGTCATAACTAGATTGACTTGGAATGTCTGTTGTTTGTCTAAAATTAAAAAATGTGTTGAAATAATAATAATAAAATTGATAAATAATTAATAAGTTATTATTGGTACCTTAATTCACTCACCTCGAATTAATTTCTGTAATAGTTTTAACAGTACTCATTCTTTCCATTTCAGACATAAAGAATGCTCCAAGTGTAGAACTTTCAACATTTAAAGGTGAATCCTAATAAGATTATAAGATATATTGTCCTGTGACTTGTGAGTTATTTTCAGTAGATATAGATAATATTGGTAAAACATAAAGATTATCTATACCAAGTAAAATGTACCTACATGGTATAAAAAATGGCCATAACCAATTACTTTCAATTATGAGATACCGCATTTCTCTATTGTTTACTAAAAAAAAAATCTTGAGTATTTTACTCCATTATTAAAATAAAATATTGTCATACTCTAATTAATTTAAATAGGTAGGTACTTTTCATCTTTTGGTCAAGATATTATTGTTAGTACGCCTATAGGTAAATATCAAATAACATATAAATAAAAAATAAAAACTATTGTGGTTAAATATAGAAAGTTATTACACTTTTAAAATTTAGACAATTTAGTATTACAATAAACAAATAATCGTTATTAAATTAAATTTTTTAATTATCGATATATTATTAGTAAAAAGAATATTATATAAATATATATATATAATCTTCCTTATAAAATATGCGATGATTAAAAAACAATTAAGTTATTTATGTCATAATTTCATAAAATATATGAAAAATCGATTACATACCTAATCTTTATACTTGGAGGAAAATAGATATCTATGATTCTAATTAAAAAACGTGTGAAGAAAAATTAAAAGTACCTAACTTGGGCATTTTTAGGGTTGCGGGGAAATGAAAAGTAGTAGAAAACGGTATCTCATTTTTTGATTAAAATGATCCAGCCCAAAAATATGTACTATACGTTTATAGCCACAATTTGGGATTCGATAGAATCTCTTTGGTAACAATGGTAACCATATTTTAGTAGGTACCTATTCTTAATAATTATTTTTATCAAATATAAAACTATCTTTAAAAATGTAAGCATATCTGAAAAACCTAAACAATACTATTCTTCTATATTAATTTAAAAAATACACACATTATTTTAGATGTCTTACTAATTTTATCAACTTAAGATTTTTATATATTACCATATTCTGTGATATTACGTACCGATGCTTGTTTGATAAATACATTGGTCATTTGACCAAATACCAATGCCAGGATAGGAAAGCTCGATCCATGAATGACCGAGCATAAGATGCCAATGGACATAAGTACCACATCAGCTTTGCTAGCATATCGAAACTAAAAAATTAACTTAAATCAGTTAAGTTAAAATTAATTAGTTAATAATTAATGTACAATAAAGTATTTAAATCTAAGAATTAAAAATTAAAATTAATATATAAGTAAATATATGTATAGTTATATAAAAGTTATAACTTTTAATATTATAATATTTGATGAATAATTTATGATTTGTATACCATATTATATTATTGTTGTGAGTTCTTAACTTTTGAGTTGAAATCACATCGTCATAAAAAGTATGAAGGTTTAAAGTATAAATAAATAAAATCTAAATATTTTGAAATTAGCATTGCGTATAATTAAATATATAAAATAAATAAAATTTTTGAGTTCCGACGAATAATATTTGAATAATAACAAAATAATTAATATAGTTTTTCATACTTAAAATATGTAATTTTGTTCAAATATCTGTAGTGAAGTTAAGAATTGTGATTGTTTATTTTTAAATTTTATTGTTCCATTATTAGTTACTTAAGCGGAACATTTTATTAAACTTTCAAATCATGGCTATAAAAATCGAAGATTTAATAAATTTTATATTACAAAATATTTAATTTGTAAATTTTTAGAATTTGAAGAATATTTTAAATATTTTTACTTGTATTTAAAAAAATGTTCTTATCTATATATTTTAAATATTTTTTTTATAGTTGTTAGAAATAACTTCTATAGGGTCTTGTATTCAATTTTCAAGAATTTTGACTCAACAAATAACCTTTTATCGTTATTAATTTTTTTTTCAAATTTCAAGTGCCTATACCTAAATAGTGCATAATCTATATAATTTAAATTTGCCGATTTAATGTTGTTATTTGACCTTTAAATTATTTAGCACCTCATGCCCGTATTTACCAGTCCATACCTGATGTTTTTATTAACATTTAAATAAAAAAAAAATTAAAAATTGAAAATGTCTCAAATAGCTCAAAAAAAAAAAAAAAAAAAATAAAAATATTTTGAGAAATATTCTATGTATAGGAATATTAACAATCTACGAAAATTTCAAGTATTTGATCTTATTTGTTTTTAATTAAACAAAATTAATTTTTACAAAAACTGATTTGAGAAAAAATTCTTCTTTTTTCTTAATAGTTGGTTTATTTTTCATGATTATTTTGAAAAATATTGAGAATTCTTGATTTTGACCTGTTTAAAATACAAACTAGATGCATTTTTTTTCATCCAAAATCACTTTTAAAGTTGAAATCAAACATTTGTTTCTTCTATTTATTGTGCATACAGACAAAAACCACACATTTTGTAAAATAAATACATTAATCTCCACTATAGGCGTAGGGTGGTCAAATTTTTTGGGAGGACTGTAACCATCTTAGGAGTACACATGTACTGACTCGAGGAAGGCTTCGTTTGCATTTGGGGAAGGGCTATTTTTCAAATTGGTGGGCTAAGCTCCCCAACTACGCCTATGATCTCCATTCAGAATCTAATTATCCAAAATATAATGTAGAGCTTCTTTTATGTATGTTTTTTTTTAATATAAGGGCTCTAGATAATATTCTCACCTTTTTCTAAAATTGAAAATAATGAATTCAATCAAGTATTAAAAATATTAGATTTAAATGAATCATTCGAAATGTAAAATGTATATGAATATGAATAATATGATGTATGACTGAAGCAATACAGGTGCCTACGAATTATGACATAACATCTAAACTCTTAACTGATTAACCGATAAAATTTAACGTTGATAGTCTAAAAATTAAACAACTAAAATAGTTTAATATTAGCTGTGCTGATTACAATAACAAGTAAATTTAAATTACGTAATAATTTTTACTATTATTAATATTTATTAATTAATACCTATATCAAGGTATATCATATGATATTTCTTGAATATATAATTTTAATGTAAAATATAATTAAACTCTATATCCGGCATAAAAATTTGATTATACGTTAGGTATGTTATACCTACATTCACGGACCTATTAGATCCATTATCTCAATACATCTTCTAACTTGATACTTGTATTATTAATTTCGAGGTTAGGAAGATCAAGTTGCATTTTGTATTATTGTCATGATAACCGGCGATGATTGTGTAGTTATATAGTTAATATATTATATATTATAATATAAACAAATTTCACTAAAACCCGTTTTTTAAATTCTTACTATACCTATTTGTGCGTGATCGGTGACCAGTGAGTGGAGAGGGCACAACACCACAACTGCATATACTGTCTTATAATGATGAGATTTGAAACATGAGTAGGAAGATTAAAATTCTGATAGTCTACATCTATATGTTTTTACTATCTTACATTTTTACATACTACATTACTAAGTACTCTAAAAACATAACTTGATCTAATTAAGTATATTATTATTAATATAAAACTAATGGATGAAAAAGAATTACAATTTTAGTAATTTAAGAATAAATCGTACATTTAAAAAGAGATATTTGAATTCTTGAAAACATTTTAAAATAATTAAAAAGTAGTTCAAATTTCAAAAAATATATTTTTTGTAAATGGATGATAATTACAATTTTTTTTTTTAAACATTTATTAAATTTGATTAGTACTTACCAAGCTACGAATAGTATGTTTTTTCTTTTCATTTTTTTCTACAGTTCTAAAACAATACAATTTATAAATACAAAAAGAATACACATGTATTTTATAAATTATTACTTGAAATGAGTATAATGATAAATTTGTGATATAAATAAATAAATTCAGTATGATCTAAAAATTGATCTACATATTTTGAATATTTCATTGCGTAAAATAAAATAAATAAATTTTAGATTTTTGGTTTTAGTTATTATTAGAATTATTTACGAGTTTAGCAACCTTATATTAAACTATTAACCCTTAGTTATAAAAATGTAATGTTTTACAACATTTTTAACTATAAAATAATTAATTGTAATTTAATCAAGCTATGTGGTTTATTTAGACATTCATTACAACAATACAATTTTTGAAATATAAAATATATGAATATAATTTATCAAAATCTTCAAATGTATAACAATTAATAACATACTATACGATTTTCAACTATCTTACGAGTCAGCGGCGTGTAGAACATTTTTTGTGTGTGAGGCCCCATGCATTTTTATTTTTACTACTACTACCACCGTTACAACCAATACAGTACCTCCTTTTAAAAATGTAATAAAATATTTTTAGGAATAATTTTTAAAGATGTGTCCAAGTATTTAAATCAATACGAATTACGAGCAATATATAAATATATAATCAAGACAAACGTTGTAATATATTTATATTTATAAATTTATTTGTATTATATTACATTGTAATATTGTATAACTATGCACGGGACTATGCATCATTTGAAAATTAATGCTTTTTTTAGTACTTCCGACGAATTTCCAAAAGCATTAATTGCAACGGTTTGTTATTTGTTAACATTTAATTATCTATTATGACAAGTCAGTCTCATATTATTCTCATAATCTCATGGCCATTGGCCTCACATCAGTATACCCCACTACCCACCCTTTTATGTCGAGGCACAGGCCTCAACAAATTATCTTCACCACGCCACTGTTACGAGTTGAGAAAGAGGAAATAAATGCCTAACTCTTACAGGCTACAGTATAAACCTTATCCATCCTTTAAATTTGTATATTAAAAGTTTTAATACAAACCTATATTTATATTTTATAACATTATTATTCTATTTAAAGGTTTATTAGATAAATAATAATGTACCTATAGATTATTTGTAAAATGTTTATTGTCTAATAGCAAACGTAGATATCAAAATATAAAATAGTTGTGGTTATACACAAACGTCACTTACAAATCACATCACATATATACACAATAATCTTTTTATTTTTAACCTTACATTTTATAGGTTATCACTTATCAGTTTTATTCTAAAGATCAAATACTAAACTATATAATATAATATATAATGCATATTGAAGCTAATACTGAGTACTGATATGTTAGTATGTTATTGTTAAGCAGTTATATCATTTATCTAATATCTGAAATAAACATGATTTTTAAAACAAAATTTCTATTATTATAATAGGAATAAATCTACAATAGTTTAATACGATTTGGCTAGTAAATTGTGATACTTTTAATTTATATTTGATATTGGTAGGGCCAGTAGGAAAGTAAACCAACTTGTTTTGGCTTCATTGGAGTCTTACTTACTCTTATAATTTATTCGTCAATATTCAATAATTGTTATCATAACCAAGAAAATTTTCAATTAAAAGATTAAAGTATTTAAAATTTTATTTCACTTATTTGTTGTACGGAAATGTTGTTTTGTAAAATAAAAATAGTTTTTTTATAATTCGATTAGTTTATTAGAAACGATACTATTATTAAGTATACCCACCTATACTTGCACAGATTTATATTGATTATATTATGAATATTTTTAAAATAAAATAAAACATAAAATTGGAAATTTTTTACCTTACGGCAAACAGAATTTGCTAAGTCATAACTCACATTACAGATTGAAGTACAATACAAAAAAAACATCAAACATTTACACGTATACATGGTATGAAATTATTTAACAAGACAAAAGTAAAACAATTGAAATGTATAGGTAGAGAAATGAATAGATGGGGTTTTTATTAGTTATTAGCGATCCTTATCGTACGCGCGGTTGAAAAGAAAATTTAACAAGTAATTTGAGGGAGAAAATGTCACATACATAGTCATATTACGTCACATTATGACATATTAAAAGGACATCACACTTGTATGTGATTTCTCTGTCTTGCAAACATTTAAGACAAGTAACAACAAATTAATGTTCAGCATTTCCAATTTTATCTTGTAACTTTTACCAATAAAATATATAGACATATTATCGATTTTAAGATTAAAATCACACACTTACATAATAAAATCTGTGTTTTCATTTAAATTTTAAGAAAATTATGATTATACAAGATATTACAATTTAAAAATTCCCGTATCTTGCTTAAAAATTAAAACATCGTTAAAAAACAAATAATATTCTTACCTTAAAGTTTGATAATAGGTCAAATCAATTCACTTTAATATTAAGGTTATTTCATATAATTGGAACTGCTAAAAACAAATTGTCTTAAGCTTAAGTTATATATGTTTATAAAACAAAGACATTAGTAAGTAAGCCAGGTAAGATATCATTTAATGGAATAATAAAAATCATTATAATAATAACATTGGTTATAAATTTAATAGTATTAATAGAAGGTACTTAATAATTTTTCTCAAAAATCTGCATTAGTGTTACTTCACTGGTAGACTAATATTTATGTTAGATCGAACTATCTGCCTAACTAGGTAATCAACACTATAGACTATAAGTTATAGGTACCTAGGTATTTTATAATTAGAATTATAGACAATATTATAATTAACTTACCCATATTTGGTATTCCTGTCTAGTTTATTAGCTGAAACTTTTAATAATCCGACAGTTTCTTCATTTTTTTTACCGAACATGGCAATTCAACTGAATAAAATTTAAATTTAAACCAAATAAAAAAAATTCACAAAATTCACACTCTTTTTTAAACGTTTAACACATAAATTATATTAATTTTAATAAAAATTAAATTATATAAGTATGTGGATAGGTCAATGCTAATTTTATTAAAAGTATAATTTACCCAATAAATAACAAGTAGGTACCTACTTATCTAATGAACGAATAATTGTGAACAGTAAGATGCGAACGACAAACGATGTGTCGTATCGTTGTCTGATGATAAACTGAGTTAGTATTCCTATTTCGATTATTCCAAGACTTGAACACACGTGTTATGGTAGATGGCATATGATGTTGTATAAGTATGTTCAACTTATAGTGTGATTGGTTACATTTTCTTTCATAGTTCCACTTCCTATATACCTAGCACCTATAACCTACTGACAACTCGTTCTTATGCTGGAATCAACAATATTCTATTTTATATTTAGTATATAATATTTTATTATATAATTTATTTGTTCATAAATTCAATCAGAATGATTGTAAATAAATATATATATATATATTATATACTACCATAATCCCATATTCCCTAATTACATACTAATATAAATTAGGTAATACATAGGTATCTTAGTATCTATAATATGTTTAAAATGTCAAAATGCCAGTATGTCAATAATGATAATTACATTTTGAATAATTATTTATTATTATAGTAATTTAGTGGTTATAAATTTATTGGTAACTTTTCCACTCAATTATTTCGAAGCAAGCATAAAAATATACCTTTAGACTATAATAAATAATAATAGTGAATGGCATATCTTTTATTCATAAATTATTAAATAGTATAAAAAAATTGTTCTGAAATACTTGAAAAAATAAATAGGGATGTTCCTGTTTTTATTACTCATTCTGCGACTTTTTTTTATGTACCTTTTTATTTTTAATTAAAAAGCTTTAATGAGCCTCTAAAATTTAGAGGATTAATTAGAGTCTAAATCCTCTATGTTAAAAGGGAATTCCTTGATTTTTGACTTTTATTTTGATAACTAAATTAAACTTTACTGTTTATGTCTAGGTTTTAAATAAGTAACTGAATTTAAAACTTAATTTTAATAAGCATTTTATAACAACTGTTATTTTCTGTTCATTTTGTAAATTATTTTGGCCCAAATAGACTATAATTAATAAAATAAATAAATAATTAAGAACCTGTTGTTGATATTGTCAACCATTAAAGTGTTAAGATATTAAATATTCGTGTGATAGCTGTCCAACTGTTTGCTTTTAATATTGTTTCAAAGAGCACATCAAATGGTCCATTCAATTCTCATAACGTAAACTTATCGTAAATATATTCATAAAGAAATCATGCAGAATATTACTACTGATGACTGATGTCAAGTCGAGAACTCCCCAGTTTGATAAACATAAAATATATTAGTTATATGCTAAACATCAACATTTTAACTACGAGCTGTGATGGTGATAGAGTTGAGCCCGTCGCAGTCTCGAACAACAGACTAAACAAAAACACCCTCCGCAAAATGCTCATCGCCAATTCTGTTAGCAAACTATGCGGAACCGCAGATGAAGCGTATGATTGTTATAGTAAATGCAGCAGTGAGGACTTCAACCGCAGAAGTTAAAATCCAATCACCTCGTCGTCATTGCAGCAGGTTTCAGATGAAACTAGCAAAGGCCCGTCGGAATAGGATGTGGGAGAAAAAAACAGCAAATACAGGGATCATGCCCATGGTATACAAAGCTAAAAATACACGACGTAAGACGTTCCTTTTGGAAATGAATAAAAAGGCATTTTCGCCGTTTATTATTCTGTGCAGTGTGCATAATGCAGCTTGTTACATATTGTTTACTTATAATTGTGCGGATTTATATATGCATTAAAAACCAAGCAAATATTATGCGCAAAAAAATCTTAAATATATGCATAAATATTTGCACTAAAAATAAAATACGCATAAAATACTTATTTTTTGATCAATAGTGAAATAATATAAATATTCAATCATGATTGTAATCGATATTTTCTTATGTAGGTATAAGTATTTTATTTCTCTGATTATTGATCTTAGGTCATAATTGGAAAAACCGTCTTTAACTAACAATTTATTTTGATATTAATCGAAATTATAAAAATATAATATTTTTTTTTCTTATAATAGACTGCAACAGTATATATTTAAAATATATTTAAAAAAAAAACATCAATATATGCACAAAAAAATGAAATAGGTATGTAGGTAATTAAAATTGAAAAATGTCAAAATATGTAAAATATGCTCTAAAAAGTTTCATTTTTTAAATCGTTGTGTCATGAAACAAATTTTGTGCTCATTTAGCATATATGATCAATCAGAATAAATATACAAATACATACAAATTCGCGCTTTACTTATAAGTTATAAGTAATTATGTTAGCTACCTACTAAAAATTGTGTTTGGAGTAAATAAACGTATTTAATGTATCGTCATTATTAATTAATATCAAAATACAATTGTAAAATTCATAACTTATAATAACTATAATAGGTAACTAATATTATATCGAATAATATTATAATTAATATTGTATACAATAATGTACAATAGTATAAATAGTATAATACACATGTTCTCGTAAAAATTAGTTTAACCTATATCGCGATTATTAAAAGATAAACCATAAATACATAGTAATTAAAATCTCCTAAGGAATATTATAGATAGGTTGATTAGAAACTGTCATAATATGCTCAGAATCGTTTATTGAATTTTCTTATGTAAATATGTAATTATTAAATAATTAATATGTATGATTAATCGATAATCCTTAAATTCATAAATAACAAATCCTTAATAAGTAGTCACCTATATAAATAACGATAGTTAAACTTGACACTTTCTTTATAACAGAGCTATAGATCCCCAAGTTATATTTATATGATTGCTTTGTATGAATAAGCAAATAAGATGGCAATTTTTTTAGATTACAATTTTATTTACATAACAAATTGGATCCCTGATATTGAAATAAATGATTTAAAAGTAGAATTTTTTTAATTTTCCAACCATAATTGGAATTAGAAGTGGACGATGGAAACGAAAACAGTAGGTGCGTAGGTAGGTACATAACAATCAGTGACATAGTGAACATAAGGTTGATATTATATGAATTATGAGATATTCTAATATTCCACCTAAGTATCCATTCAAAACATAATAAAGGCATTAACTGTTTTTATTTTTATTTGAAACTATACCTATATCTTACATATCGTTGTAAAATATTAGTTTATAACAAATTATTATCCGTTATTTATTACCCACCCACTAGCTCTCTACCCTTGGAAAAAACTTAGAGTTGGCCTTTTTTTTATTTTTCCTTTACCTTGTCACTGAGATTAATCTATATTTTAAGGTATAGATTCTTAGGATAAAAATTTTTTGACCAAACAAGTCCATGATCTTACACCCCCAGAAATCACGCATTCACGCCAATATATTGCAGTCAGTATTTATTTCAGATCTCCTAACCGCGGGGTGAGGGCGTATCATACATTTTCAAGGGGGTACAATGAGATAAGAGCAGGAGAGAAGTAAATTAAATTTAAATTACTTACAAAATTATTTTTGTAGTTTTTGTTCACATAATTAATGACAAACAAAATTTAACCTCTGTCATAATATTTATTTTATTTTACTATTAGTTGATGTAGTAAGTCTTACATTTTTCTGAGGTGTAAACATTTTTCTCCGAGGAAATAATAATCCCCGCGATCACTTCCTAAAATAAATATTGACAATATAAGTAATTGTATAAATTTACATTAAATTTCATAGTTATTTCATATAAATTGTTATTCCCGGTTGTTTAAATTGGCGGGATATTCAGACAAGCGATATCTAAGACCTCTTTGCTATCAGATGTTCATCATATCTTTGGTTTGTCCGTTACATTTTGTCACAACGGTGATTAAACAATACGACCAATGAGAACACGATAATTCGACAATCGATTGCATTCGGGATTTCGGAATAATAATAATATGCGTAATGCTATTTCTTTTTTCTAGTTCTTAAAATATATGCGTTTGGTGTTTACTTTTCTTGCTTTATTTGCAATTGTCGAGTCCTTAAATTGTTGCATCAAGCTGTATATTATTATTTTGAATTCTAGTCTGAAATTCGACTATAGTAAATTCACCTATTACTCTTAGTATTTATTTGTGTATGTTGTGATATTTTTAGTAAATTACGATTTATCAACGTGTTTTTTTTTCTTTTGGAATCGCAACATAACCGTCTATCTCACACTATTATTTGTATTATTGTTCTGCAGCCTTTGGTTTCATATTTTTATTAAACGATGGCTCAGAACGTTAATCCAAGACTCGAAGGAAGTTCGTCAAACTCTCCAAAACGTAGTGAAGATATGAATGACAGAATAGAATCGAATAAAGTCGTTCAAAGGTAATATTCATGATGTTAATTTAAAATTAACTATACTTAATACTCACCCTTTAATTTGATTTTGATAAATGTATTAATATTTATTTTTTTTTTTTAGATTACAAAAGGAATTAATGAGTTTAATGGTAAGTTAAATAATAGATTTTTTTTTATTATTGTTTTGTGTTCTCTGTGTACCTTGGTATACAATGTTTTTATCAAGAAACAAAAGTAACTTAATCTAAATGTATAATTGTATATCTATATATAATTTATTATATCGTATGAATTGTATGGAGTCCAGATTGAATAAATATTTGGAACTTCAAAAAATTATCTTAATATTTCTTAAATAACCACAATTCATATAGGTAAACATAGGTGTGGATAGACTTCTGTGTCAGGTATGGCTAAATTCAATCTGACCCCCCCCCCCCCCCCTCATGGTCACACAAGAAAAAATTTATAGGTGTTATAGTAGGTATATCTATGATTTTGTGATTTATTTTGTTATACATTTTTTTATGGCTTTAACACCTTATTACTTAGGCACAAATTACCCACCCACGTATACAAAAAGGCTCAAGTGAGGCTAAAGCCCAATCAGCTTTACCCATGTTCATGCCTATGTCGGTAAACTACAACACAAGTAAATCAATAAATTAACTATTTATAGGGAATAGTTATTATTATATGCATTTTAAAAAATAAAACTATTTAGTTTTATCTAGTAGGCCAGAACATAAAAAGCAAAAAAAAATATGCATTATAATTAGCATTTATTTTGTTTATAATGTGAATTTTGAACTTAAATTTTGTATGTTGAATTTAAAAATATAACACGGGTCAGATAAAAAATATTAGCGGGCCACTAGTTGCCCATCCCTGCTATATAGGACATTTAGGATCAATTCTTAATAATTTGGTAAAAAACTATCTTTAGTATTTTTATTATGCTACTTGTTACTCGTACCTTATATGAGTCACATAAATCCTCGAAGACTAGAGTATAGACTATTAGATTAATAGGTGTTTCACTATTTGCTATGCATTAATAAGTAGGTAAGTAACTAGATAATGGTAACAGGATATCTAGAACGTTAATATATTCAATTTTATATTTTCACACAGTAAATTGTAAATTGTTATTTAATTTTAAAGAGTAGAATCTACCTGTTTAACTTTGTAGTCTTCATAAATTTATGATTATTATTTAATAATTATGAGTATACAATACCTTAATATTTTAATTTTAATAAAATATGTTTAATTATAATTTTAACGGGATATGACTCATGTATTAGAAACTGATATTGGTCTTATGATCTGTTATTATAAATTAATTATATTATGATGGAATAATGGGTTTTCCATTGATCCTATTTTAAAATATTAATTACTATTAATTTATTTGAGTGTGCTAAATATTTACATTGTTGATTAGTAAATATTAAATAATCAGTTCTGAAGCCTTATTAGTAATTTTAAATAATTTAAATTACAACATTTTAGATGTCATGTGATGGATCAGTGTCAGCTTTTCCAGATGGTGATAATCTTTTTAGATGGGTTGCTACAATAGTTGGACCAAAAGATACTGTAAGTTTATATTTATTATTAAAAATGTAAAAAAGAAAATATCTTCAATATATCATGTATTTTTAATGTTTTTAGGTATATGAAAATTTAAAATACAAATTAAGCATGGAATTTCCCCGTGGCTATCCATATAAACCACCTACTGTTACATTTTTAACTCCTTGTTTTCATCCTAATGTAGACTTTGCAACTGGCTCCATATGCTTGGATATTTTAAAAGAAAAATGGTCTGCTATGTATGATGTTAAAGCAATTCTTATATCATTACAGTCTCTTCTTGGAGGTAAAAATTTTATTTTATCAATAAAGTACCTAATATTTTATTTATTATGTATAAATATGTAATATTTTATAAAGTAGAGTTTTTAAGAAGTTTTAACTCGTGTGTGTAATCTCCGTCTCATAAATTTAAAATTTAGTAAAAACAGATTCATGCAGGCAAAACAAAGGTTAAGGTTTTAAAAAAGAATTTTGAATCAATAGATCTTTTTGATTAATAACATAGTGATGATTAAAGAGAAGGAGGGTTTAGGTTAGCTCCCCCTCAAAAATAAAAAAAAAATTGAACATTTTTCAAAGTATTAAATAGGTAACAATGCAAAGTAAGATTTAAGCCTCCCCTAAAATTCAATAATGATTATAATATGGTTATTTAATTTTGACTACAGCCTGAGTGGTTTTTGTCAGCTTGACACAGTTTCTATTTGTTATACATTTATAAGATGGTGAAGTGTTCTCTTAAGTATAATGAGAAGTCATTTTGAATATAACATTATTAACAATTCTTAATATTGATATATTAGTGATAAGTGATTTAATAGCTAGTATATTATTCTACTTTATTTTACAATATTGTTTATTTATATTTAATCTTAGAATTTGATTAAGAAACTACTGAAATTAATTAAATAATTAAAATAATTCTATTTTAATTCTATTATACATAAATATCAGAAAGTATCATCTATTAGTTGCACTCTCGTGTGTTAATAGAAATATTGGCTTGTACATTTTGTTTCATATCATTTTTAATGTTCTTTTAATATTTTCTATATTTTCTACCTTTAAAGAACAACAGTCAACAGTTAATTATATTGTAAGATATATTATATTTATAATGTATTATAGCTTTCCATATTTTAAGTTCAATATTGATGAGGTTAATTTAAAAATAGTTTTAAGATGTTGAAAGATAAATATTAAATATATTATATTTGTATATATAAATTAAAATAGAAACTCAAATATTTATCACCCTCTCTGATTATTTTTAACTCTTATAATGTGTAGAGTTAAGTTAGTTATTGTTTTTTGTTAGTTTTTTCAAATCCCTGAACACTTAAAACACTTATAGTACATTTTTGTTTTAAATGCATATTAACTATTTTACAGAGCCAAATAATGAAAGCCCTTTAAATGTTAAAGCAGCCCAACTATGGCCAAGACAAGAAGTTTTTAAAGCAACTTTGTTAAGCACATACAAAGAGTCTGAATCAACCTAATAAATTGTGTAATATAGAACTAATTTAAACGACTAAATTGTTTATTGTTCAACTTATTTTTTTTTTATATTCTCTTAGATTATTACGGTAAACTACTTTAATCAGACGTCAGATAAATTTAATAATTTTCTGTAGTTTATTATACAATTTTATTCTCATATTATATTGCGCTTTGGTTTATATAAAAATATGTACTTTTTACTTAACTTATCCTTTTTCTTACTATATTAGATGTATAATCATATTCCTGCTTATTATTTAGCTGTGGATTAAAACTACTTTATATTTAATTTATGACATGTAGATTGGTTTTAAATTATTTTTATTATTCATACTCCTACTTTTTCTGTTATCAATGTGTAATATGTATTGTTTATTCTGGGTTCAATAAAACTAATTTTGGAATTTATTGAATATACATATTCAGATAAGTTAATAGTATACATTTTTGTCTAAAATATTTTCATGAATATTATAAATTAATTTAAAATGTTCATCAAAGTTTACCCTCAACATTTAAATGAATGAATGCTATTTTTTGAAATGAGCTTTTGTAATATAGTCAATGGTCATATTAAACTAATTTTTAAGCAATACAAATAAAGTAAATTTTTTACTTTAAAAAAAAAAATCATAAAATATCTTTTGTCTTATGTATACTGAATAAGTTTCATCTAATAGAATATATAAAAATAAGTCATGTATTAAAAGATAAGTTATTTATTGGCCATTTCCAAAATTACCAATCAGTTTTGGCCTTTTAAATGACTGATATAGTGCTCCCTTGTCTAAAAACGAAAGTCATTGATTTTATAATCATTTTTGATTTTTCTTCATCAATGATATCCATGAGACTAAAATAGCATGCATTCTTAGAAATTTCTTTTTTAAGAAGTGATTCAACTGTCCAGCCTTTAATTGGCACTATATTAAAATAGTTTTTACATTTAATAGTTATTTTCTGATTAAAAAATATCTTGCTAGGAAAGCTGTTGTTTTGACTTCTTTAAATTTTAAATAATGTAGAAACATCTATAATTTTCCTACTATGAATTTAATTGTAGATATTCCTGAGTGAATGTTGTTTATTCATTGGACTTTATTTCAGTAAAATTAAATTTTATAATTTCCATAGAACGTGTTCTATATAATATTTTTAGACATATTATGTATCAACATAAATTTGTTCAGTAATTTTTTTTCTCAAAGTTAAACCGACTTTAAAAATAAAATTTTTGTTATAATATGTGAGTACTTTTTCAATATCGATTGTCATTTATGTACAATCACATGTAAAATGTGTTTCGGTCTAACACATCAGTTATGAATCTGAATAGGCTGAATTAAACCGCTCAAAAACTACGGCAAAATATAGTTGTCGCTATGGGATGCTGAAAAGAGTGGAAAGTATTGGAAACCGAAAAATATTCCTATTTATGATTCTTCGGGTACTCAAAAAACGTCCAAGGACGTTAAACAGCGCGGCGATCTCATACAAGGTCCCTGGATGTTGCTGTGGGTAATGATTTTTACAGATGATACTGTGAAACTCTGCCCGGCGCGGCGCTTCGATTGAGTGGGGATATCGGTGTAGTGTGTGAACTCATCGTACAAGCCGCAAACCTGAGATTTCAGACTACAGTTAATTGAGTCGTTACTCGTTCGCGCTGTTGTCCGTTGGCTCAATTTCGACGTCTTGTACTATCGAGTACTCGTCGACTCTTTTCGTGATCGGAGCCGAAGACGCAACATGTGCTTTTGGCATTATCGATCGAGCAATTATTACGTCGTAAACAATAGCTTTTTTTGAAATAATAAAATCTACTTTAACCTCACCGAAGTAAGTACCTAATAGAAAATAGTAAATTTATTTTTCACCGTTTTTTTATGTTTATGCATTGGACTTAATTTATAATACACTAAACATTTGTCGCTATAGCTGGACTTTGTGTGATATAATTGTTGAGCTCGTCGCTATTATCATAGCCATTTAAATGTTATTTTTATTTTGTGTTGACACTAGGTATCGAGCTTGAGTTTTTCTAATATACGCTCTCACATATTATATACGTTTAATTTGTTGAAAAATGGAACACATTAAACACTCGCAGACCAACGGCTACTTGCCAAGTATGTATTAAAACGTTATTCATAAATTAATTATTGTTTATTTTTTACTAAAAAAAGAATAATAAACAAATAAAATTATATTTTTTAAAAAGGTACTTTCTTGCTAGTGGCAACTTTATTATATAATAATTATTTTCTTCTATATAAATAATTGGAACCAGAAATAATCAATAACGAATATTTGACAGAATGCATGAGTGTTGAATTCTGAGTTAAAAAGTATCTAGTCTACATCCTAATCTATATTGTTCATTGTAAAAATCTCTACCTATCTGTCAAAATCATTTAAGTTGTTAGTTTACTAATTTAGCCTAGTTTGGTATAGACACTTATATTTTATTTATTTGTGTAAATAGGTTAATAAAGAAATAATTAGAATTATAGAATAATAAAAAATGTAATATTATAGTTAATAAAAAGTACATTTGACTTAAAGAATTAAAATTGTGTATGGGTATTAATGTATTTACCTAGTTATAATATATATGTTACGGGTAAAGTATATAATTTGGGCATTTTCTCCAACGCCCGGGTTTTATATAAAATGGTCATTTTATATTGGGCAATATAGGTAATATGATATTTAATAGTAAATTATTGTCAAAATATTAGTGCCAGATTAAGCACTGATTATTATTTGTAGATTTGGATTAGCTAGTGTGTTTTTTCATTTATTCTTATCGGTTTTAAAGGAATGTTTTAAAAAGTTGAAAAATCCATTTATTTATAATAGTTAAGCAATTATTTTTAGAAACTGTACAAAAAAAAATCAGATACCTGGTAATTTTATAATAAATAAGTAATTTATTTATTTAATTGAATGCTATATCTAACTTAGCTATAATGTAACAGTTTAACATTTTTATTGAATATTACTATAAACTAAAAAAAAAAAAATAAATAAAATAATTGTTAATTTGATATCTATTAAAATTTATTATTTCATAATTTAGAGCAGTACATACATCAATATGCTTGAAAGTTCTTGGGTGTTTAAAATGTATATCATGAGTGAAACCGCTTATGATACTAAAGTAGGCTTTTTTGTGGCAATTATCTAAGACTGGGTAATGGGTGGGTGGATAACAAACAATAGATTTAATGTAATCAAAAGTTTTTAATATTAATATTTATTCTACTAAGTATTAAAAATTAAAAATTAAGATTTAAATTTTTAAGTGCATAAGTAATCAAATGGTAGTTTGTCTCTCGGGGGTTTGACAATTGTTTAGTATACTACTGAGTGAAACTCAACTATTATTTTTTATTACACTACTATCAAATTGATTAACTTATTTATTTTTTATTAACATAATTATTTAATAACTAAATCCTTGCATAACTTAAAATATATAAAAATAATGTTGTATAAGCCTATAACCTACCATAATTCCCACTGTTTCTGATATCACATTTACTTGTCGCATGAGGTAAAAGTTTATCCCATGATTATTTATTATTATTTTGTACTATAATAAATAATAATTAAACATTTTTATTATGATCTGATCAAAATTTAGTTTATTAACTGTTCTATTTATTTTTCTTTTATTTTAACTTTTTTTCAGAAACAATTGTTTATAGTTAAGTATGTTATTTTAAGCTATTGTTGTCGAATAATGAATTTTAAAGTAATGCAATTTTCTTCATATCAAGCAACACTTTTAGATTCTAAGTTATTGCTTTGCATAAGTAAAATAACATAATTGGTTTTATCAGTTTTGATATTTTAAAAACGCCAAAACTCATACTTAACTAAAGATAGAAATAAGATCATAAAGTGTTATGAACCTTATTTTATGAACATAAATCATACATGATAATTTTCATTTATAATTACTATTTTTTTTTAAATTTAATTTTATTGACAAAGATTAGACAATATTAATTATTTATAAGTTTCGTTGAAATAATCAATTTTATCTCAAAACAATAATTGTATGTTAAATTTAATAATTTCTACTTTAAACATATTATTTGGTATAACAGCATTATAATCACACTAAATTAATGATAAAAATAATAAAATATGAGACTTATTAAACCCTAAAAGTGTTAATTAAAAATCAAGTATTTACTAAAGTCTAAATCAACAGAATATTCTAATATTTGAATATTTGTAATTTTAATCAGATTTGTACCATAAATCATTATAATAATGTAAAATAAACTATAATAATTAATAATTATTTTTGAATTTATTTTTTTTATATACATTATTATTAAATTAATTTCTCTGTAATTAAAATATTTTGTTTTAGTTTTAATACTTTTAAAATTTTATTACCTAATGAAGTATGAGTTATATTTTATGGTTTAATAAAATTAACTATGTTTAATGTACCTATTATAGGTAATCTGAATTACATACATTCTATGATATTTTTAGAAATTATAGTAATACAAATTTTTTATTTAGTAAATGTTATAAATTTTAATGGTATTTATAAAATACATTTCAATAAAAATACTGTCTAATAATTTAATATGTATTATAATTTATAATAATCTAGGATTGTTAGACTTGTGATATTGCTCTTGTTGAATAAGCATATCAATTAATTTAAAATACTACTGTGACCTTAATAATATTTCTAATAATTATTACACGAAATCTTTCTTCTCTGATGTTATGTTATCGTATACCACCAATTATAAACTGTGCCTATTAATTCAAACCTTGAAGAGTGTTTGTGAACAGTATTTCATAATTTAGTTAAGGTGTCTTAATAATTTGCATCATAATTTGTTGAAACTTATCAATTTGTAGCATGCTTCTGTAATACATTTAAACGGGATAGATTACATATTAGTAAGTTACTTCTATTATAGTAGGTATCCATTTGAAATTTTTTTATAAGTATATAGCCTAGGTACTTCCACAGTTAATTTTTCATTTAAATTCAACACAAGAATTTAGAATTTATTATTTTGTATAATAATATGATGAATCACGATCACCATTCACCATATCAAATATATTTCCTATGTGGTTATATCTTTTTTCCTCGGCTTATACTGTTTGGTATATATATCTATTAATAATTAAAAGTCATTCCAATTGTGTATTTAAATGTTAATCCAAAATAGTAAAATCGGAACAAATTTTCACTGCACAGTGCACTCCTACTTCGTTTCGTTAAAAATAGACAGGAATTCTGGAGCCTCTCTGTGTAAACTATTATTATTATCATTTTTTTTTTTATTCTTTTAAGAATTTGCTAAGCTATCAATTTTCTGTCCAGCAATATTTCCCCTCAATTAATTTTTTCTTGTATTTATCATTTGTATAGATTTTTTCTATAATAATTAAATTATATTAAGCCGGACCCACAATATTGGTGTCTTAAGCATATTTTGAATAATTTAATCCTTCTTTTCTTTGACATATTTATAAATATCTACAATATCGGAGTAAATGCATAAATGCACCTACACAGTTGACGAATAATCGCCGACTACATATATACAAATACCGATTATATATACCGATATACAATATTATATAATATTAGGATAATGTAAAAATATTCTATTTAAATAGTATTGTGTTTATAGAACTATTTTTGGAATAAAATGTCCAATTATTAAATTAGGTGATGAATAACTACCATCATCTTTTATTGTATTCGTTAATTATCTATATAATAAAACTATTGTCTCTTAACATTTTGAACTTTTATATATTATTTATCATCGTAAATGGTGTAGTTGATACTAAACATCTAAACTAGGTTACATACATTATTTTGTGTGTAATTTCTTTAATGTATTATGGCTTAGAACGTAGATATTTTCTATTGTTAAATATTTTTAATTGTTATGATGTGTTCGTCTGCTCTTAACTAAAAATATTAGGATTCCTTGTTGTCTATAATGCGATGCAACATTAAAAATGTTTAATATTGTAGTTTAGTGTATTATACAATAAATTGACCTGTAGACTATTTTAGTATTATCTAATAATTTAAAATTAAGAACATTATATTTTTGAGCCTTTTATTTTTTAATGTTATACTATAAAAAAAAATATATATATACATATATATTATTTAGTTGTAAATATTAAACATATTACATAATATTAATTAGATGTAATTACTAATTAATATTGATTGTGTACTGATATACGAAATTTTTATTTAGCAACATACACTATTACTTTTAATGTATAATCTATAACGTATGCATATTAAGTTTTCTAAATTGTATAAGAATAATAGTCGCTAATAAGATGTTACTGCATTTTATTAACCCGTATTCTGTAGGTGTTTATTTACTTTTAAGAAATCTAAAAATATACACTTGGTATTTTTATGATAATTTTATTGTTGAATTCTTGAGTATTTTTTTTTAGACAATAAATATTATGTAATAGATAATATTATGTTCAAAATGGTAGATTTGTTTTGTTTGAGTACGTCATTTGAAAATCAATAAAACGTTTACATACTCGTACATAAGCATAAAATAAATATATATATTATTTATTTAAACTAGTCACGATATTTAGATACAAGGTCAATATTTAATAAGAAGATAAAAAGTAAATAAGTAAATCCAATATGTTATATATTACGTAGGGTTTAAGACTCTAAGGAAAAGGGACAAGTCAATTTGTGCACCTCATCTATCGTTTAAATCAAGGTTATTCTCTTTACCCTACCCCACTTCTAGTTTTTTTTTTGTTGTAGCGCTTCTATCAAATCAATTCATCAACCCTTGTATAGTCGTATATTGGCGTCATCAAAGTAGAGTTAACATTTTAAAATAAATAGTCGGGTCGTTATGGTATCATATTTTTCACATCAACAAACTTAATGCAATAATTTGTTGTTGTGACTTATGATGCATTATAGAATGTAATTTTATCATGTTAAGAAATACATTTTCGATATTTTTTCAGTTTTTGTTTAAAAGTAGATTTCTTTGTTATATTTTAATTTTATAAATAGTGTACAATTATTGAGTTACATTTGTAGTAGTTATCTTTAAAAGTTTTCAAGAGCCCTTGATATTTGTTTTTCAACTTATGATACCTATCTCATAGTTATAATAGCTAATTCATCGTCTATTGTATCATTTTTTTTTTTTTTAATTTTAATGTAATTTTGCAATATATCTGTAGGTATATCTAACATACAATATAATATAAACATAAATTATCAACTATGAATATTTTGTTTTCGTGACTAAAATAATTTTATCTTTATTTAAATATTAATAGGTGAATATTTTCATTTAGGAAGTTTAATAAATTATTATTTTTTTCAAATAAATTTAAAAAATATTAAAATCTTTAAAATATTTATTTTGAAAATAAGTTATAATTTATATTAGTTATATAAATAAATAAAAATTATTATATTGGTTTAAATTGTTTGAATTTCAGATGGGCATAATAACATAAATAATATAGAAAAAGTTGCAGCAGGCAAAAATATGAGTCCTGATTTAAATGGTTGTGATACAGGAGCTATGTTTGTGATGGAAGATGAAGATCATCAAACGGTTTTACTAAGTACACTTAACATGATGCGGAAAAGTCGAACATTTTGTGATGTTATACTAAATGTAAGTTAAATCATTGATTATGATTGTTTAAATTATCGGGCCTTTTTAAGTTTATTATACATTTAATTAAAATTTGAGTATTTTAGATTGACATAATTTATGCAAAAAAGAATAAATTATAAAATTAGACTAGTTAAAATTAAAAGATTGGCTTACTGAAAATTTGACATGGGAATTTTTATTTTCATTTTTATTGAATAAACTATTTTGTTAATTTGTGGGTTGGATGGGAAGTGTTGACTATTTTGAAACGTAGACCGACCACCATGAGTGTGTGTAGGTGGGCAATTGCGAGTTACATGGTCACCGTGCTGTGTTGGCCAGCTCGAGTCGATTTCTGATGGAGATGTTTAGCACTGATGATGAAGAAAAGAAAGGTTCACAACGAGAAGCAATAACAACATATACACTGAATGCCACTGGTCCACTCAGCGATTGTTCTGCTGTTGAGAAGCTCATCGAATACACCTACACATCTCGGTAACGCATTGTCGCTACCATTTATTTATCTAACTCTAACAGCATTACTTTCTTAATGTCTAAGTTAAAACATTAAAAAAACATGCAAATTTCTAGTGATCTAAATTATTTTATAAAAATGAATCATCAGTACTTATATTTTTGGTTTAATAACTTATTCTATTTTGATTCTTGGCAAAAATAAATATTAGATAGTACAAAACTATTTATAAAAGCTATAGTATTCCTATTCATTTTTTAAACCCTACAGTATAAAATATTGAATAGTCTTGTTACTAAATAATAAATAATTGTGTGCAATACATACAATTAGTGAGTAATCTATTCCTATAATCAGACTATACCAATGTGAATAAAAAACTTTTATTTTTATCTAAAATAAATTTTCTTTCTTTTTTATTATTTTATTTAGTTAAAAATATAAGTATCAAAATCATAAATACTTTGTGTTATTTTATTTTTTGATTTAAATAATAAACTTTCTTTTATTGATCTAAATAAATAATAATATTTAACCATTTGAAATATAAAGCCATGGGAGGGAGATGCATGTTTTAATACATTAATTAAATTATTTCTCTGAATTAAAATTATTTAAATGTTCTTATTTAATAACATAACTTTCCAATGCTATAAACAAATCTATGCTTGGGTATCTTTCACTGTCCTGTATTTAAAATTATGGTCGATGTTTATATTTTTTTTTCATTAAACTTTTTATAGTATTAAAAATAATATTAGGAATGTATTTTTATTTGATTGTTTGTTTTATTTTTCAGTCTGGAAGCAAATGTTTATCAAGTAAAATCAATATTTCAAGCAGCCTGCTACTTAAAAATGGACCGTATTGCAAAAGAATTATCTCGCTTCATGCTGAAATACTTAAGTGTCGATAATTGTATTGAAATACGTTCACTTCCTTGTATATCAACAAACATATCTTTTATTAACCAAGTGAACTCATTTATATCAGCACATGTAAGCTTAATAATACTAATAAAAAGAAAACTATAATTATTTTTATATCTCTAACTTAAAATTTTAGATGAAAGAAATTGCTGAAACTTCAGCTTTCCTTTCATTACCATGCATACAAATCGAAATTTTAAGCCAAACAAAACAAGAAATGTCTTTGAGTACAGGTGATTCTGTATCTCAGTTAGTGTTAGATTGGATTAAACGTTGTTATGATGAGAATGAACCAGCTACATTCTTTAATGGTCTTATGGAAAAAGTAAAATGTTAAAAACAAATAATTGTATTCATTTTAAATAAATGATTTGTTTGTTTAGACATATATGTTATACTTGGCGCTAGATAACATATTGCAGGATTGTTCGGAACTTCCATCTGGAGAGTTAAGTGATACTGAAATTGTACAGGATTATAAAAAACTATCCAAGAAATCAACATCTATTCCTAAGGTACATATAAATATTAAATATGTTATTTGTAAAAATAATTGTTATATTTGTATATTTTAGAATAGACGTAAAGGTCAAATACAACCAGCTAAATCAAGAGTTTTGATATGTAACCGTGAAATGCATGAACGAAGAGAAAGTTTTATTGATAGTGATTGGACTATACTTGGTGTTACTTGTGTTGGAGGTACCTATTTATTCTTGATTTTATAATCATTAAATCTTATTGTTATTTTTTTGTGTTTAGAACATACTTTTTCTGCTTTGGGTTCACTAAAAGGTCAATTATGTTCTTTGAGCATAAAATTAAAACTTAATATATCTATGTTATCAAATCCACCTTCTACTCAACCATCTCCATTGCATAGCCGAGCTGAATCCCAAGAATCATTGCCTGATCTATATTGTGCTTTAGCTCACATGACATCGGGGAAATGTGCTATTGGTTGTGCCAATCTTAACAACAGTCTATTAGTATGTGGAGGTTATGATCGAATTGAATGTATTAAGAACGTAGAGTCTTATGATCCCGAACAAAATGTTTGGGAAACTTTTGAACCCATGTGTGAAGCACGTGGGCGGTTTAATATAGCAGTATTGAATAACAAGGTATATGCAGTTGGAGGATGCAATGGAACAACTGAATTATCTACAGTTGAATGTTACGACATGATTAAAAAAAAGTGGATTCCTGTGACTTCTTTACCGCTTGCTCGATCAAACACTGGTAAATAACATTTAATGATGGACTTAAACTAATAACGTTTTAAAGCTATCTTTTCTATATTATGTTTATAATTTTTCAGGTGTTTGTGAACTAAATGGTAAAATATATTGCATTGGTGGATGGAACGGTCAAGTTGGAATTAAACAAAGTGATGTCTATGATCCAAACACAAATAAATGGACTAGTATTGCTCCATTGCAAACAGGTATGATTGACTAAAATATAGTTTTTAATTAAAAAAAAAAAACTAAAATAAATATTTAAACCAATTAGGAAGAAACCAAGCAGGTGTATGTGCAATGAATGGTAAAGTGTATGTTGTGGGTGGTTGTGATACTTGGAATTGTTTAAATACTGTTGAGTGTTATGATCCTGATACAAATTCTTGGTCATTTATTAAGCCTATTATTACACCTCGACGTGGTTGTGGACTTGCGCATATCAAAGGTTTACATTTTTTTATAAAGTTTACACTTACTAACAAAATTATATAATGACATATTTGTTATGTTTTTATAGGAAAATTATATGTTGTGGGTGGTTCTGACGGAACTCAATCACTAGATACAACTGAAATATATGATCCAAATGAAAAAATGTGGAGTCCAGGTCCGAACATGACTACACCTCGTGCAAATGTAGGAGTTGCTGTGGTTGGGAATAGACTGTATGCTGTTGGGGGATTTTCCGGTAAAAACTAATTCTTAGTTTCATCTATAATTTATTTATAATTATAATATAAATATTTATTTTTTAAGGTAAAAAATTCTTAAATAGTATTGAATTTTTGGATGAATCTATGGATGAATGGACCCGATTTAGTCCAAGAAATAATTGTTCGAAATCAGCATCTCCACTACCAACAACTGATACAGTCTGTACTTTTAATGATTGTGAATTATTAAATGGTGTCTCAGAGTAAAAAAAAAAGAAAATCATCTTTTTTATACATGCATACATATTATTTATTTTTCAATATTTTATATTTAAATAATATTTTTACAACGTTCACATTAAATTCTCTACCTGACCCTTCATTTGGGATATCTGGAAAAATTATATATAATATTCACTATCGATATTTTCTATTGAAAAAATAAATTATTTTCTTAATTTTTTTACAGATCAAATAATATATAATCTTTTGATTATACTTAATAAATCTATAAAATATAGTATTTAAATAATCATTATGTAAAACAATTACATTACATAAAAAAGAATTCAACAATTACTTAAATTAATTAATTAAAAGTTTTTAATCAATGAAAGTTGTTTTTAAATTCTATTCCAATGTCCCATTATTAATAATACCATGTGTAATCACATGGATATGCAATAATATGTAAATTCATGCCTGGTTAATGCCAATTTGTATTAGTCAAAAAAGTTATTACATTTTTTAATATGGAATCTATGAATAGTAAATAATGTATATGTGTGAGAGCGTGGAATAATTATGGACGTTTAGTTATAAGTAATTAATATATTTGAAAACTTCAGTTTCAACTATTGGCTATTTACCAAATATGAAATAAATAATAATAATAAACCAGAAATTTAAAAAATGAATTTATTTATACTATTTATGACCGAGGTACTTGTTTTAAGTAACAAATGTTGTATGATTTAATTCTTAATCTTGAAAATAATTTCTTAGGTAACAATCCTTCCTTATTTCAAGAAAAAAAATGTAAATCTTTTAAGGTTCATGTACGTTTTAAATGCTAGTGCTTTAAGAATGTACTAGGCATTTCATAATTTATTGTAATAGATTTAGAAAATACATTTATAATAAATTAAACACAAGTATTGTTATTAACTAAGTAACAAATAAAAAATAATCTCTGATTTATTAATTATTGGAAAACATCACTTGATTTAGTTCCTGAATGTATTTTATTATTTAAAAAATAGTTCGTTATAATTTATAAGCAATAATTATAAAACGGAATTTTCTTTGTTTAATGATTGTCAAACAATTGTACATTTTTATTTATTTGATTGTTTTTAAAAACTATAAAAATTGAGAATAAAATGAAATGTGTTTAATTATTATTCATCTGTTCTATTATGAAAATTATAAATATAAAAAATATAATTTAGCATTTTTCTTTGGTTTTTTGAAGGTAACATTAAGATAATATGCTACTTAATGAAGTTATCATACTTCGCCTAGAATTTTTATTGGTGCTGATTATTTACAAGAAACAAACTTATGCAAGTAATAAGTCAATAAAAATTCAACAATATAACTGATTTATAAACATCAAAAATACTCTGTATTGTGGTAACAGATTCTGGAATAGTTCATATTTTAAGTCTTACAAAGTGTTTAACTAATAACTTATAAATTTAAAAATAATATACTATTTGACGAAAAAATAAATAAAATATATGCTTATACATACATAAGTAATTTTAAGTTATACAAAAGTACTATTGCTATTATAAAATGTTGATACATTAAGAGATTGTTTTAGAACCATGGTTTGGATACACAAATGTAATATAAATTTAAATACAATGAATAATATTTGTTATATTTTAAAGATAAATATAATTCTGTAAAAGATGTATATTACTTAATTAGTTTATTTGTATATGTGTCAAAAAAATATGAGACTTGCTGCATTTACTAATAAAATATATTTTCGTGTGACATTTTGTTTGAGATCATAAATCGCACTTTTAAAATTTTATATTAAAGTATCTAATTAAGTAGTTAAAACTAAATTAATAAATATTAAAATAAAATTAATAGATAGAAAATAATAAATAACTAAGTAAATTAGACAGTGGTAATTAAAATTGTCAAGTTTCTATATAAATAAATAAATAAATATGATTTTAATACATTAAAATAACTGCACAAAATGTGTTAACATGTTTAAATAAATATAATATTAAGAACACTTTAGACAAAGATTTATAGCAAGAAAAATATATTGCTATGTATATTGTATGTACATAAAATAATATTTAAAATTAAGAACTACTGAACACGATTTTTTTTTTCCCCGAATAATTAGGAATAACAATATACTAACATTTTTTTTTTTTTTTTATGAAATTACTTCATACTTATTATAACTAATTGAATAAGACCATACAAATTATGTTTTAGTCAAAAACCAAATATGCCTTTATATGTGTATACATATAAGTATAATATATAAAATAAATATATTAAAATTAATTTTTTTTTTTTTTTTTTGTACATGATTAGGTATGCAATAACTTTTTTTTAATTTTTAAATACTGTTAGTCATGGTATGGGACTGATTGATTATAAAAACACATAAAGGCCACTGGGTAAGATGTGGCGACCAATTTTTGTCATACATCGTCTTCAATATCATTTTTATAAAATGTTATCGAAGCAATATGTTGATTTTGCATGACTTCAAACACCATATCTTGGTAACCATAGCAAAACGTTGATCCAAATGGATTGGTGGAGTTTTCAGACGATCCACGATTTAACACAACAGGTCTTTCACTATGTTTTAGTCTTTCAGATATCTCGTCCCATTTAGTAAATGTATTCACAATAATTGGTTTTGATTTTTTATCATACTTTTTACAATCATTAGACAGATTGTATTTTGATTTTTCTGAAGTTAAAGCAATGTAGAATTCACATCTATGATAACTGTATGAAAAAAAAGCCACCAATAGTTCATCACAAATATAATATTTTAAAATTTAAATACTTACATATTGAAATTATAATGACCAGGAAAATTGGTATGAACTATAAATTTCTTAATTTTGTGCGTTTTGGCATCAAAAAGAATATCCTGTGAATCATTTCCATAAATATTAAATTAATATTTTAAATTAAGTGTTATACTAGATAGATACTTACAAAACCCAAAGTAAAATAATTGAAAAAGTAATCTGATCTTCTAGGAACAGATATGTGTCTATGAACATTTGGTGAATGTATTTTCATTTTGTCCTCTGATTTATAAAAAATCTGTGAAGGGGTACCTAACATAGAGGTAACATCTTGACATGACATTCCAAAATAAATTTCACGATTATAAGTGACTTTTCGACCACGGTTTGAACCTAAATTAATCAGTTTATTTCAAATTAATGACTATTCAAATAATTAATAATTTTTGAACATTACCAGATCCTTCCAAGTATAATTGTATCATAAATCCTTTGGTATTTTTAAGATCTCTTTGTACCTCTAATCGTTCTAAGTAAGATAGCCCTTTGTAGCAAGACAAAGGATGTGATGGAATATTTAGAATATCTTGACCAGGAACTGGACTTCCAGAGAATATAATAACACGACTGACATTCGGAGATGTTCCACTAGCAAATTGTAATGATCCAAGTCCACACTGAGCGCTGCCAGCCTTAAAAATAAAATAATACTGTTAATAAAAGTATAAAAATTTATCATAATAGTTTAAAAATATTATAAATATACCTGAAATTTAGAATCCACATTAAAACAAAATGAAATTCCTCGAAAGTTTAATGTAAATGTTTGTTTTTCAGCATCAAAAACACCAGGATGAGTAGCACCAAAAGTATGTTCAACTTGTTGAATGGTGGGCATCACTTCTGGAGCATTAAACACCATACCACTATGGAATAATAAAAATAAATAAAATATAATGAAAGGGAATTAATTATGGTGTTTGTAAGTTGAACATAAATAATTATAATTATCGGGGTGCTGTTGAATACTTGCCAATATTTTAGTTTTATGTTTTTCAGGTTAACAATTTCAATCATCTGAAAAAATTATAACGCTAAATTGGCTAGTGTTATATTATTAAGACAAAATAGATTTGTTTACCTTTAAACGTTGAAATACAGGATGAAATATAAATCGAATACCATCTTGAGGAAGGTCTAATATGAGATCAATATCTAAAGGGTTCTGTAAAATTTTAAGAATATATTATAAAAGTTAAACTATAATATTAATAGAAAATTAGTTACCTTATCGCTATATAAAACTTGAACCCCTTTTATAATGCCAACTTGAGATTGAATTATTGCTACAGCTTGACAAAAATGCATACCTAATATCAAAAACATATTAAAATAGTTATTTTATCATCGTGTTTTAAAAATCTAATATACTTTTTTATTTTTTTATGATTTATTAATTGTTGAAATAAACCAGTGACTTAGTTATTAAAACCTATTGCATTTCAAATTTTTAAATAAAAACAAAATATTATAACTTAGAATGAAAAAAAAAATAATTATAGGCAGTTGTATCACTTGATTTAATTTGAATGCCAATAAAATATTAAAATATTAAATAAATCTTTTAAGAATTAAAATTAAAATAATATTATATAATAGGTACTCATCATTGGAAATGCAAGTACTTACTTTCTAGAAATTATTGAAAAATTTAATTTTCCAGTAGTAAATAGTAAACAAATACATTGTTTGACCAAACAATTTATAGCCTGATGTAATAATAAATACTTCTATGTCAACAAGTTATCATGCAATACCATGTAGATGTCTACACAGTCTTTTGTTCAGTAATAACCTTCTAAATGGTATCCTGTATTAAAACTTCATAACTTTGGAAAAATGAAACGCAACTGCAGGTATTGTTTTTAAAAATTACAATAAACCATAAACTCATTAACTAACTAACTGTCCCATGATCTGTGCGAAAATATCAACCCTGGACGGACTGAACGGTTTTAGAGGACTTTGTAGCGTTATCTGGACGAAACTAATACAATATCATTGTTAATACTCACCCAGGACGAACTCCCATTGTTCACATCCCAGAGATCTTTCGGGCACGACGTCTAGCGTTAACATTTTTCTCTCGCGACTAAATTACCTAATACTGTAGGTAAATAAAAAAATTCATAAACGCTATAACACTGTAATGTCAGCTACGACTGTGCTAAAAACGCGTCAGTCTCTGGGAGAGAGAGTTATGGCAATGGCATAGGCGCATAGCCGTCGATGTCCGTTCGTGGCCCAACAACAAAAATTAATTGTGAAAAAAAAAAAGAATTGTGCAAACCCGATTGGCCTTTGAACGACGAAACGATAATAATTTTTAATTACGACAGCGCGAAAATTCACGTTCACAAACCGAGCGTATATTTTACGGTTCTATCAAGTATAAATAAATCAGCTGCTGCTAACTGCGAAATAGCCTATTGGAGATTACTGAATAAGTAACAACCACCACTACACCACTACACCTCTGTGGTACTATTACGGCGGGGCATAATATATATATGTATATATATATACCATATACGTACTATATAATATTATACAACTCGGTCGCGTAATCATTCTATGTTTGTCGGTAATCAGCTGACGCGGAACATAAACACGGCGTAGATGTGCGGCTCAGTGGACGTACCAGCTACGGTTCGCGGAGGAGGGGGCCACGGTTGTAAATGTTGTTATTGTTACTCTGTGTTATTGTTTGTAATCAAGGTGTACTACTATAACAGTTGTCACTAATATTGTCAGTCGGCTACTATAAGATCAGTGTATAGTAGTAGATAGGTAGTACTACGACTATAATAATATTACAGTACACTCACTTTATCGTGTAATCATTATAAATTACAATCATCGTAATAAATGTATACATATCATATTAATATTTAATATTCACTTTGTTGCATTGCATTTTGTTATATAGCTTATATTAGTAATCACGACGTATGTGATGTGTTCCAGTGGGATGCACTGCGTCGCGGTCACAGCGAAGTAGTAGGTACCGCCTTATGATCTACTTTAAACTTTTCAAATTTAAACATATTTTATCGTGGGCGCAGACTCGCGGTCATCAGTTGTTTTGTAGTTCTGTTGTCAGGGTCGTCCTTCGTTCTAGGTCGGTCGCCACTCGTCCATTCATCAGTGAATGTTTCTATTGGTAAAACAGTTCCAAAAGTTCGACGCACAAGCGTGATCTGATGACTGACAGAAGGGTCTTAGGTATCTCATCATTCTCATCTATTTAGTATCACCAGTTTTTATATTAGCGTACCTACATGATTTATCCAATTTGTGGTAAATTTTTTCTTGCCATATGTTATATTATTATCAGTATTAATGTGCAAAGAGTATCTAATACCTATCAAATATTATGTGATGATTGAACAGTACGAGAGTGGGAGTTAATTTGCTCATCGTGATCACTGATCACAAACCGCCAGAATTTAAGTAGGTAGTGGGTACCGCTCTGCAGTCTGCAGTACCTACATTAAATAGGTTATTATTCTACGTGTGTTAAATTATTTAGTACTTATGTAATCAATCATACGAAATACCATTATAAAATGTACCTACTTGAAATATTGTCAAAATATTATTTTAAATTATTACCTAGTAAGTAGTAAGTAACATGGAAAATTGTACATGAATTGGGAATAAACAGATTGATCACTGTGTATTACCCTATTATTCTTATAGTCTTGTATTCGAAAAAGTTTTTTGAAAAAAATGTTGTTAGTTATAAATTATAATTGATTGAATGTGGAGATCGTTATGCAACGTTTCATTGGAAATATATAGTCATTACAATATGGCTTTAAAAAGTATGAGTGATGAATAGAAAAAATATATTTAAAAATATTTATAAATTAGCGTAATTTTAAGAAGAATGATTTCAATTGTGAATATTTTTTATCAAATTTTAAATATCTTGGTTTTATAAAAATATGTATTTACACAAAAATCTGTTCTCTAAATTAATGACTAAGAAAGACTCCAAGTCAAGATCTCCAGGATTCGTGGTCACAAAAAAAAAAAGACTGGATCGTTCACTACATTGGTTGGCCAAAAAGAGAAAAATCTGAAAACTAAATATAAGGACAGCAAAAATCTTAAAATTAGTGTTACTTACAAGCAAGCTATTAACCTAGCGGTAACGTATTTACGTATAATAAATAATAATCTTATCGTATTGGACAGGCGAATGTGCGTACGATGTAGATAATTGAAGGGTAGGCGGAAATAACGTGCTATGTAAATTTTTTCAATTTTCATGTTTTTGCGGAATAACGTGCTATGAAGCAATCTCGACATATTTTAATAATCAAGAAATTCCCAAAATGTTTTTATCGTACACAATCATCGTGTTTTAACTTAGAAACTGGCGATTAGTTGACTAATAAAACGTGCTATGTGCGTTAAACGTTTACTACGTTATTCACAGTAAGTCAACGCGACGTGAGACGTGTGGATATCACGATGACGATTGTGTTACCTATTTAACTATGACAAGTCTAAATAATTTATCTAGTAGTGATTTTAACCGTCCAAGTGGTGGACGAAAACGGAAAATCAATATGACAGATTGGAAAAATGTAAAAAACAAAACTTTTCGAAATAGGGGGAAAGACATACATCTCAGAGTAAAAAACTTGTACCAGGTAAAACATCTCCAACCGTGGTTAGTAAAAATGTTATGAATGTAGTAAAATAAACATAATGTAGAAAAATATTTTATACACATTTTTAAACATTGTAGGATCAAGTTTGTGACCCGAGTTCATGTCCTTGGCAACAATGACTTTAGCAAGAAAACTTGTATTATTTAATGAATCTTATAAGTTAACGTATGATGAACAATCAGCTTTTTTGTATAAGTGTATAAAAGTAAATGCTCCTATGAGAAGACGACCAGGAAAAACAGATGCTACATCACGACGATTTTGTTCATTTAAATATTACATAGATGATTTACAGGTATGCAAAAATACGCTTTTAAATACGTTTTGTATTACAATAGAAGACGTGTTATGACGTTACAAGATAAAATAAAATTAGGTATTATGACACCTAGGGATAACCGTGGAAAACATTTAAATAGACCTCATGCTATTGATGTCCCTGTATGAGATTTAATTAGACAACACATAAATAGTTTACCTCGTCAACCGTCTCATTACAGCCGTATCGCTACAGATAACCTGCAATGTTTGAGTTTAGACTTAAATTTTTGTGTAAGCTTTATCGATCTTTTAAAAATAAATATCCTGATAAAAATGCCAGTAAACATATCTATAGAAATATTTTTCGGACAGACTTTAAATTACGTTTCGGCTATCCGCGTTCAGAATGTTCAGATACATGCAAACAGTGTAATTTTTTTATAATAAATTAGTAGCAGTTGATACAGAGGAAGATAGAAAAAAAAATAGAAATTGATAGTAAGTTGCATCATTCTAAAGCTGAGCAATCGTATGATGCCCTTAAAAAAGATACAGATATCGGTAAACTCAATAGATCTATTGTTGTGTTTTGCGTTGATCTACAGCAAGTATAATTTTGCCCAAGCCCAACTCTTACACATTCTAACATGTTTTATCAGAGAAAACTTTCCAACTATAATTTAGCAATTCATAACGTAGGTAATAATGAAGTTTTTATGCATTTGTGGTATGAATGTATCGCTAAAAAATAGCTTCGTGTATTTTAAATTATATCGAGAATAATAATAATTATTTATTAAATTTATCTACATCGTGCATTACAGTATCATATCACGAACCAAATTTGAATATCACACTATCACACTTATTATCAGTTATCAGTTTATCATCTATAGTCTATTCAGCTTATTCAAAAGTCAAAACGACAATGTCGAATGGTTTGCGAAAAATTTTCGGTCGGCACCGGCTCCCCTTTGCCTCGACCGTTCTCACGAATTATTTGCGACAAACTAACGAACCACCGTGGACATCATTTTTTGTTAAATACACTTCGGTTGTCGACGACCAACGAGGCTGGTCGCACTTCAATTGGAAAACTGGTGACTCCAACTATCACGTTTTACGTTCCGGCTGTTTCCCGTACATAAAGTACCATTGCACCAAAAGGCCGTACCAAGATCTGCGAGTAGACGACAGATTGTTTAGAATTTTAAAAATTATCAACTTGGGTGAGCAACCGACAGTTTAAAGAACTAAGGGTATAGGTCCTAACATACGGTGTTTTTGAGATTTAAGATTAGGATTTGCAAATAATCTAATACGTTATTTCTTGAGAATAGACAATTTAATTAACAGTTTGAATATTAACACCATAATATTTACGTAATATATCAATATCAATGTTAAAGTTATTTTTAAAAATTTTAACTTATGATTTATATGAAAATAAATCAGAAGTCCAACAGGTTTTTATCCAATTTAAGCATTACTTTTGTGAAATTATTCATTGTGTTCTATTTAAACATCATAAATCATAAATCGTAATAAGCATAATACAATATCGTGGATTATGCTTAATGATTAGGTAACATTCATTGGTTAATGGTTATGACTTATGAGTAAGTTTTATATAAATTAATGTTTTGCCATTTTTATCCAATAAATTACCTTCATTCAAAATTGAAATTAAATTAATTATTTGAAGATAATGTTTATCAATTGGACTTAAATCACTAAATTATTTTACTGAAATTACAATAAATAATATCTTAATTCATATTAATTCCTCAGATATATTTTTTAATTTGCTTATTTAATACATTTTACTATTTAAAGATGAGTTGTGATCTTAAGTTTTTCTAGCAATCAACCATGAATTTAATATGCACTTATGCGTAACTAATTAATTCAAAATTTTGATTAAATATGTGCAACGTGTGTATTCTAGAAATTATTATTTGAAAATTAATCCATAATATTGATTTATGTACCTATAATATTTAATGTAATGGTTTTTGGACACTATTATTATTAAATAATGTAATTTTTTCAGGTATACCATTGCTTTTGTATGGTTTATCTGCTGTTTTTATGATTTCATATAAAGAAATAGTGAAGACACCTAAAGGAGATGTTTATATTTATTTTCTTTTAAAAGAAGACAAAGGTTCAACACATTAAAATATTTTCAAAATTAAATATAGGAGTAGTATGTTTTAGATGAAACTGAATTGAATTTTGTACATTTATAAATTATTTAGAGTTATTTAATCTAAAGTATTAAAAATATTATAATTAATGTTTATAAAATTATGTAAAATATCATAAAAAAAAATTAATTGTAATGAGATTATTATAGTTCTGTGTTGTTAAAAGTTACAATGTAATTTTAAAAATATCAAGTTAAAATGTATTCTTTCATATAAACATACCTTTAATGATATTACAAATAATATAAAATATTTATTCTCTGATAAACAATTTAAAGAAACTAAAAAAAAAAAATATATTAAGCTATTAAATTAAAAGAAAAAAACATTATAAATTTATTTGATAAAAATAAATTTCATGTATTTTTTAAAAATATATACCAATAACCAACAATATTTCTAACAATTCAAATACAGTATAACATTGTATAAACTATAAAGTATTAATAATATAATTCATAGTGCCTATGTTAATTTAATTGATAGCAATATATTACAAAGTTTTACTCAAACTTTGTTGTTTAAGACGCAACATTAAAAAATTTAATTATAATAAAACACCTATTACAATTATTTACTATAAAATTATTCTTTTTTGTAATAAATAAACTATTTTTACTATAAAAATGATAATTACAACAAAGTTTCATACTTATAAGTTAGGTAAACTAGTCAGGAAAACTATTTTAATCATTTTCTGGTACTATCATGGCACGTCCAGTTTCTTTAACAGTAGATTTGATGATATTTTTTGGACCAAACTCTTTCACACTTCTAGTGAATCGTAATCCATGGCCAACTGTTTCAAATGTGTCCTGAGTGACTTCACTAACATGATTGCCAAATCTATAAAATATGTTTTCAAATTAAAAAGCTTCTAACACTGTAATAATAATATATAATACATTAACAATTAGCTTACTTATGATTAACTATAAGCACTGTGTTGTTTGAAATACTTTTACCCAGCATTATTCCAGATTTTTCAAGTCCATCATAGACGATGCTTAAACCTTCAATAGCACCTGCTGTTATATCAAATACATTTGTCATTTTCTCGGAAGCTTCATTTTGGTTCATATTAGTAATACCCGTCAAAATCTTAGTTCCACCTTTATGAACATGTGGAGCTAGGAATTTTCCAACAACACATGATGCTGTACCTATTTTTCCAGCTGAATAAAAAGAACATGTTCATATTAATTTAAAATTAAATAACTTGATTTTATATCATATCATACCAACATAGCATGTTACATCTGCAGCAGTAGATGTCACATTTTTAGCAACTTTAACTCCTTTTTTCATGGGAGAGCAAACATATGTATCGCTTTGAGAAGGGTTAATATAGTTCAGTAAACCAGGAGTAGAGTTGTTCATGAAATTTGATGTTTTTTCAGCACCCTTCACTAATCCATTTGATAAAAAAGTAGCTCCTTTAACGATGTGTGATGAAATTTTGTGACCTTTTTGTCGGGCTGTTCCAGATTGTTTTCTCAATGATTTCTTAAGTATATCTTCTAATACATCTGTGAAAAGTTCCAAATTTTCTGGAAGAACTAACACACCAATAGCTGAATTTCTGTTTTCAATATCTGGAAATAAAAATGCTCCATATTCTGTTCGAAGACATGGTGAACTATTTGCGACAAGAGGATAGTAAATATCTTCAATACAAAGGAAATGCCGCTGTGTGCTTTCTGAATTTGTACCTAAGCAAAAAAGTTTTATTATATTCTTAAATAAGTTATAATATTTATAAAGTTGAATAAAATTTAATTATTTAGTTACCTTCAAGCATAAAAATTTTAACATTTGATTTCTCTGATGGCGATGTTACTTGACCATCATCAGCAATGAAAAATACTTGTGAATTGTCACAGCTAACTAATAGAATTGCCATTGAACTCTGCTCGATGTCAACACGTAAATCATTGAGCATAGCTGATAACTGGTTATATGAAACTGGAGGTTCTAATGTTTCAGAAGTATGAGATTGTCCTTCGTCAGAACGTGTAGCTTCTTGATATGATGGTGGACTTTGTAAAGGTCTACATTCTATAGCCATATTTGAACCACTATCTCTTTGCAACTCAACAATACGGCTTAAAATCTCTTTTCTGAAATAAACGTGTTAATACAGACTTACAATAAAATATAAATTACAATAACAGCAGGGCTGATGCTAAAAATTGCGAGGCCCCGTGCAAAATAATTTAAATAAAATAATATACAATTTATTTTTAATATATTATATTCTTTACTTTTTAGTTCAAATAAATTAAATAAATGTGTACAATAATATATATTTTAGACAAATTAGAAGAGCACAAGTGAGATACTTAGATCCCAAAATTATATTATCGGCATGACAACATTTGATGTAATCTACTTATACTCTTTGGTTCATCACTCTACTATCGATACAAAGAAAATGCCCATAAAGCCATAAATATTTATGGTGAACAAATACTATCAACCATAATATTATAAGTTTTATAATTTATTTATAAATTAATATTAATATGTTATTATGTTAATCACCAGTATTAACATAAATACAGTACATTAGTACTATTGTCTTGAATATTACTAAACTATTATTTCAACTGTAGTTTGTAAGACATAATATTATTGATAATAATGTAATCTTTTCTAAAGTATAATATTTTATCAGTTAATAATTTCTAATGATTTGTTTTTCTGGAGTAAGCTTCGCTTACTAGTGACCTCAGATTTGTACGGGGCCTTGTGCATGTACAGCGGTTGCACTGCCCTTGCATCAGCTCTACAGACTACAACATAACAGTGTACACTTACTTTTCAGTTTTCAAGTACTGTAGTATGTTTTCAACCTCTGTCCATTCAAGACTCAGGTCAGTTGGACGTGTCAGTGGAACTGAGAAGACATTATCAATGATATTAAGACACTGTTCGTACTCCAGCAAAGCCTACAAATGAACGATACCAGTAAGTATAGTTGGTATAGTTCAATAATATTTGAATAACGACGGACTCACCAAATTTGTTTTGCCTTGGGTTTCGAGACTTTTTGCTTCGCGTAGAATGTTGAAAAACTTGTCCGTGGCAGATTTCACGCGACCGTACAATTCGGCGGTTTCGCTTTGACCGGCCATATCTCCGAGAATCTGATTGTAAGATCAAGCACAAAGCAAAATTCAAAAAAAATCGGCGTCGAATGCAAATAAAATTTAAAAGCGTAAATTCGCGATAAATAATATTCAAGACGACTGTTTTCCAACTGTGATGATGTGAAATATGAAAGTGAAGTTATCCTAAATTAAATATTGTGAAATGTTTTGTAATGATTCAGACTGCGTTCTTTGACCTCGCTCTGACGGAAAACGCTGAAAATCGAAATTTAAAATATATGTTCTGATCAGTGATAACACGCGAATAACGACCAAACGTGTACATAATTCGTAGAACACTGAACACAGTAAACACTCATTGTTGTGATTGTAGTGAGATGACTATCAATGAATATTTAATGATGATATTATTTTTGTTGTATGACTCGTCATCTATGTCAATTTTACACGTTGGTAATAAAAAAAAAGTTGTTTTATCGTTAAAAACTCAACATATACTAATTAATAATAGTTATTAATATGTATTTTTAAGTTTATAACTACAGATATACATTCTACAGTTTAATAACATATAACTAATATAACTTAGTAACCATATAAACTTAGTAATGTAAAGATAAATCCATTCAATATTTATATATAGTGGTGGAACTAAAAGTTTGTTCACGTGGGATAGCGGGGCAGCATTTTTAAAAATAATATAAATCAATAAATTGATAATTAATTTATCATAATGAATTATAAATATAGGTACGTACTAATGACTAAAAGAGTTAAAATATAACGGAGTATATAGCCATATAGGTGTTTACTGTTCAGTATTAAATTAAAAATATTTGTACATAACAAAAATTATATTCATCTAAGACCTACAAGTGTCAGGTAATAAGTACTAATATTATGAACGCGTAGAATGTTGTTTTGTAAACATATCTATTGCGTCTTTTGGTTTCATAATGAATATTTAATAATGTTAACTAATTTAAATTATTATTTCCCATCGTCGTTCTTACTTCTTAATCTTGAATTAATTATTTTTAAAAACGAAAAAGTTACTTGTAAGGTTTACTTCACAATTTTAATAGTATAGTTGTATAGGTATTAAAAAATGATGGTTTAGGCGTTTAGGTACTAATAATTAATTGGAGTTTGGTAAATCCCGCACAAAATACGGCTAATAATTTGTTACATTGGTTTATTGATAAGTTCTAATTCCGCTTTATTTAGAACAGAAATTAAATTTGAACCGAGTTCGAAATACATTCGAAATTGTGTCCTCTCCGTCGCAAATATCGTCGACATGCGTTTGACGCGTTCACTCAAAATTATCGCCGTCATCGGACGCGATTGTTTGTAACACGCGTTGGGATAAGGCATACAATTAACGCTGTACCATTAATTATAATCAATGGCTGTACGTAACGATGTTCAACTCGTATAGCCATGTGCGATAAGTTCGTCGTGTGGTGACAATCGTCATTAAACATGTTGGAATTTATGATAGGTATCCAGGCAAAATTAATATTTGTCTATACATCTTACAAATGTCGATTGTAAAAACGTATTTGGGCACTAGAAATCTCGTCAAAATGTCGACTATACCCGGTTTGTAATTTAGGACCGGTTAACAGTTATTCAATGACGGTCCGCGGTTACTTTGTGCGGAAGCGTCGAACACGACGCGTATTTTGTGTTGGTCAATCGCCGGACGATACGGTCGCCACGTGATGAATAAAATAACGTCCCGGGGATTTTGCAACAGACATGTGACCTAGCGATTTTTATTCCGACATGAACTGGAAATAAATCATAACTTATTGTTTTCAACGGAGAGTTCGTAGCTAATTTACGTTCGTGCCCGTAAAAGAGTCGCTGCACCGCGATTTCGTGGGATCCGACAAAAGTTTCTACCACCGGCGTCACGCTAAACGGCAACGGCACTGAAAATCACCGACCGCACGGACTGATCCCAAAATAATTTTTTATACCTCCTCACATCCGTGAACGTCACGGGCGCAACCACCGGCTCTTCAACTTGTCAAAACCGTCATAGAGATATTCATAGCGACCGGTAGCGATTGACATGGGTGGGCCCCTCGATCGGACACCGGACTAATAATTAGATCTAAACCAAGGACCGAATTAAACGCCGAAGGTAAAGCTTTACCCACTGGCATTTTTCGACTGTCCATTATTGACGCGTATACATCGTCGCCTAATAATATATCGACCGGTGATGTGATATCGAATGACGAGGTCGGTCAACGCGATAGAAAAAGTATTGTCGTCATTTAATTATAGACAAAAAACGACTTTATTCGATAATATTAAGCCAATCGACAATAAATTATTCTTAGAAACAGTTAATAAATAATAATTCAAAATTAAACATCTTAGGATGAACAATAATAAAAATAGAAATAGCATCGTTCATTATACAATATCGGGCAATCGTGGCAGATTACTCGTGCTCCCTGATTGTATCAGGTTAAGATTTTATGATAAAAACACAAACATTTATGAATTTAAAAGACAATTATAATAATATTATTCAAACAAAAAAATAAAGTAGTAAAATTACCACTTAAAATTCAAAATATAAAAAACGAAATAAAGGAAACTTAAATAAAATACATATCACACGAAACATTAAACGAATTTGAACAATTATTTTTATTACTTAATGACAATTTGCAACGTTTCGACTACAGAATGCAGATACGAAGAAGTCACAGGCGATTTATTCAACGATGAATTAAGTGATCGCTTACGGCATCAACAAAGTTTGACAACGAATAGTGGTATCGCATAACATTTTCGTAAAATATTTTATTATATCGGTAATTTAATTTTACCAAAAAAAAAAAAAAGGTAAGTGGAATTGTAGTTTTTCAAAGGTTTTTTTTTTTATTTATTAAATTAATTGTGTTAATACCCTAGTGTTTTTACAACATTAATTATAAATTATAAATTACAACAGTATATACAATAATTACAGTACTTTTAATTTGGTTGGTTTATGGATTTAGTTCTGGTTCAGAATCTGGATTTGAGGTGTCAAGTAGGATGTTCTGTAGTAGTTGTGGTTTTAACCTTAGGTTGGAGGATCTTCTGCCAATTTCCTTAATAGGTAAAAACAATGGATATTATATTTAATTATAAAAAATTACCATGGTGAAAAAGCATCGTAGGTACAGTAACATATTTGATACATTACAAAACCTTAGAATATTTAGATTAGAACAACAAATTAAAATAGTAGCGTTTTCTAAAATATGCAATGGAAAATAGAGGAAAGAATGGCCTGTAATTTCTCGTACCTATGCTAAAGCTTATATTTTAATACAAATCCATAAAAATATCTATTTACGAAATAAGCATTCCAATCATTCGACAACACTGTCAACACTAAAAATAAAATTGTAATTATATTGTTTATAATTTTTTTTTTTTTTATTGTCAAAGGCTTAGTCAGATTGGGAATCATGAACACGTATTATTGTTGTTATGTCAAATGCTACGTAATTACATATTCACTGTTATTGTAACATAACGATAATATTATTGTATTTACATAGCAATTTTCGTCGGATGATGAACTTTTGAAGTTTATCCGTGCACAGGATCATACAACTCGTGTCCATGTCCTGTTTCACCAGCCGCTTGTGTTTCAGATATTCTTTAACAGTATTAGTCTTAACCTGCAAAATGATTTTTGATTAATAATTTAAAAGGTACACCATACCAGTAGAATAAATATGCCGATCCTGGCACCGCATCCTCATCCTCATCTTCGTCCCTCATCCCAACCTAACCTCTCCCTTGTTCAAACTTGAATCACCTGACACCTCTAAATAATACAGGTTCTGTTGAAATATTGAATTTTTCTAGTAGTTCCATAGGGTTGTTATCGAATGGTTTTATATAGTAACAATAACTCATAAGATCGTAATGATGTGTTATATTGGTATTTTTCATTTTATTGTTTTTTTTCAAGTATATATTCTAAATCTGCGTATATCGAGAAAGGATGTTTTTGAGTATGTTCCCAGTTTTCAAATTTCATAAAAGTGTGTGGAAGTGGCAATATAGGCAACAGAAGATTATTTGTTATACATTATAACTTATAATCATTAAGTCGTTGATGAGCGTTAACGCCGAAGTAAGTTTTAAAACATCGCTTACATATTGATATGGTGTGTCCATGTTGAGATGGTTGAGCACCGACTAATTTTGATAAATTTATAATACGACAATAATGTTGTTTTCTCGTTCCATCTCCAAATAATAACAAGTCACGGTGGTCATCTAATTCTTCTTCACATACTTTTACAGAAAATATTAAAGTTTGTTGGGAATTTGTTTTGAATTGGTTTTTGCGAGAAATGTTTTTAATGTCAATATTATTTTTATACGTAAGCTTCCCTTGTTTTATACCATATATATTAACTGATACTTCTGGATTTTTTTTTCAAATTTTCGAACATCATTTAGCGTAACGGGGAAATTAAATTTGAAAAATCGTAGATGTTTTCTATTTCAGTGTAATTAGATCCTATTCGAAAATTTTTTACGGGGTCGATGAGTTTGGCCAAGATGCTGTATTTAAAACATTTGTTGTCTGTATTTTTTACGTTGATTGTCGCTTTTTTCCTTTCTAAACATGCGGGTAGTGGTATATAAGAAACACCTTCCAATGGTGAGTATTTATTAATATTGATTAAAATACTATCAAATACTGAAGCAATTTCCTAACGAAAACAAACAACCTAACCTAACCTAACCTGGAGACGGCGGCGGTGGTGGGATGAGGGATGAGGATAAGGATGAGGATGCGGTGCTAGGATCGGCATATTTATTTTACTCATACCGTTGCCGATGTGTTCGTAATAAGTTATTCAAAATTTAGAGATTATAGCAAATAGCAATATTAAATCGGTAAAATGAAATAGAGCGGGGTTATAAAAAAATATATTTTAAAGTACAGTGGATTCAAATTTTAATTACATTTAATTTTGTGACGCTAATGTGCACAATATCATTATTTAATAATTGTTCACATTTTATTATATCCACCATTCAATATTGTTAACGGTTTGTGAAAACACTGTCAAAAATATAATCGTTTGAATAGTTATAATATGATAAATAGAATAGATAGGGTACTTTATAGTACTGTATTTTCAAATTCGTGAGTAGCACTGGTAGTGTATACGACGTTTTTAAAACTCAACAATTTAGCAATGCTATTTTCGACTGAAAAATCAATATTTTGGCTACTGGATATCATACACTTTAATGTATTTGCTATCAATTTTATAAATGTCGGACATCAAGTTTTTTTATAACAGACTCTAAGTCCTCCAATTCATATGAACCACTGTTGATAGTACCATTCTTTAGAACGCAAACAACTCAGTACGAAGTCCGTACACTACGAACTAAATGGGTATAATAGTGCGGTTTAATGACGAGTTGATAAGAACACTGCGCTCTAGCCGCAATTATTATGACTAACGACGAGAAAACCGGTGGCAATATACCGTGGCTAGAGCGCAGGGTAAAAACTAACTCTAACTAGTCATTACTACGGTAACATTGCTACGTATATATACGACTAAATCGTTAACATCAATTGTGAAGGCACACGAGGTAGTTGACGTCAACTCGGCCGTATGGCTACATATCTACTTTCCATGAAAGTAGACGTATACACCGGATGGGAAAATTATAGCTGACTCAATGGACCTGCTTACACACACACTCTCTCTCATTCTATTCCTTTAATTGTGTGTAAGTGTGTTCATACTGTAATCGGTCCATTGTGCTCGCCTCTCCCGGCCATCTTGACGGGGGTTCCGATGCACAGGATTCGGTTAATGAGCGTTCGACTACCTGTACCCGTACCCGCCTTCCGCCAAAATTTTTTCACTTTTTTCTACCCCTCTATTTTTTAGCCACCGTAACAAGTTACAATATTAAATTACAGTCGACGTTATTGTCGGCCCCACATCAGTGAAGCGATTCGAAACGCACAATTTGTTAAACTTTTTATACAGGTTAACACGATTAATCCGATTTGAAGCAACAAGTGGTTATTAGTACCAGTTAAGTTCGATAGTTGAAGGAAGATCCACTTGTTCTTGCACGCATTGCACATCGGCACGACGTGTCGACGCACGTAATTGTTAGTATATCGCGTACAATCAAATAATATTATTTCACTGTTGAGAGTTGATTCGATCTCTCTTCAAAAATCAATTCTACCAAACCTTTTACTGGCCTACCACAGGGCAGCTGTCTAAGCCTAATTCTACTCAGTCTTTAGCTGTCCGGTCACAAATGTCTCATTTATGCTGATGATTTAGTTCATTTTCTCTTCAAATAATCATTTTAACCTTGCTATTGATAATCACAACTCTATCCTCAAGGATCTAAATAATATTATAATCGAAGTGTCTTTCGACGTTGTCCCCAAAAAATGTAAATCAGTCATTTTCACACGACCCTGCAGAATGGGTGTAGAGTGTAGACCGTTTGGGTGAATCGATCCAAAATATAATCTGTTAGGGCGAATAAGTATATACCGTTTGGGCGAGGGTTTATTCAACTAAAAATATCGTTTGGGTGAGGATTATTAAAAATATTGGCATAGGTATTAATAATATTATTATATAGTTAGATAGTAATTAGTAATAGATAGTAATCTACATTCAAAAAATAATTTCATTCGCCCAAATGGTATAAATGATAATCGTCCAAACGGACTATTATTTTTTTATTCAAAATTATTACCTTCGCCCAAACGACCACCGCCCATTTAAAAAATCTCAATATATATCTTAATAATAAAATCGTCTCTTTTGTACCTAAAATTATCTATTTAGGTACTACTATAGACCCCAAACTTCGTTGGTTACCACATATCTAGGGCTGCTATATTTGGTTAGGGTATCGTCATGAACGTTCTAGAAACTCTAGGATGGAGTGTATAGAAATACTCAATCTTGAAATAAAAATTAGAGTTCTTTATTTTAAATAAATTATTTGTTTATTTATTAAGGTTACATAAAAAAAATATTTTTAATTTATTGCAAAAGTACTTGGATGACTATATTTTTCAGAAGAGTTTGCTTTTTTCAATAGTTTTTTCCCCTTTAACATATTGGTAGAACTCTGCGAAGTCATGTTATAATTAACGATCATAATTGATGATTCATTCATATTTGTATGTAATAAAGCGAAATTTTGCAATGCATAGTTTCAATCGGGGCATTTTAGTCTTTTGCCGGGACGTTGGGACAATGAGTTCAATATCGGTAATAGTTCTGATATATCAACCCTAATTAGTAGGTATATGATTACGTCCTCTTTTTGGCCGATAAAATATGAAAACCCATAGTATTACAACCAGGTTCTATGTTTGAAATCGAATTTTTTGCTTGCAAATTCACAAGACAAATATGCGCTGTATATGTTTACTTCAAACGATGGAAAAATATTATATAACAATTCACCGAGTTTCCGCTTAACGTTATCGTATACATCAGTGGTTCTCAACTTTTTTTTCGTTCCGTACCCCTAAGTTTAATATTTTACTAGATTGTACCCCTCATTATAATTTTTAAACTTTTTCACATAACTAGGTACTTTTAAAATATTTATATAAAAAAATAATGAAAAATTCTATGTTACATTTTATTCTCCATATTTTTTAGATAGGTTGACGGTTAAGTTTTAATTTGTGACACAAATTTTTATTTTTAATAATATATAATGAGTATTTTTGAAACGAATAGTTTTAAATAATAAGTTTAAAATTTTCCGCCTTTAGTTAATTTTTTTTCACGTACCTCAAGGGGTATGCGTACCCTTGGTTCAAAACCACTGGTATACATGATAAAATTTTTAAACAGAAGTGACCGCAGTTTGTAGTATTACGTTTTTGTTCTCTGATATAATTATAATTAATGGCACATCTGTGAAAATATTTTTGTACATATAATGGTGGTAGTAAATTTCCAAAACTTTCGTAATATTCTACTTTTATTACAATTTTTTTATACGCTACCCAATGCATTTCTGAAGAATTTGACGTATCCAAGCTGATAATCCCAGATTCTAAATGTTTAAGACGAACTGGTAACATACAAATATATCTCTAGTATAAGCACTCCGTTGAAATGAGGTATACTTTGAGCATATTTCATAAGTTGTAGTCATATAACGCTTTACTGGGTAACGTAAATATTAGTTTTTTGACGTTTTTACAGCCCTACCACTTTATGTAGTGCGAGATATAGGCGGGAACCAATTTTGTATGAATTGCTTTTATACGGTGTGAGATACAACCAGTGTTGAATTCAGACATTTTTTCCAGGGGGGGCAGTATGAGATGTGGAATTAATATAATACAAATTAACAAATTTTACTTTATTTACCTGATTAATATAATTGAACATAATTGAGCTTATAAAAACAATTGAAATTATTTAATATTTAAAAAATGTATAATTAATATTACTATTTAAAGCGTATGCGGCGTGTTTTCTTTGTTGCATATAAATCTATCACCTCGTCGACATATTCAATTGACGGATCTTCATCACCTTCTATACTTATTTTCATACAGTATTGAAGAGTATCTTGTCCCATTCGGTTGCGAAGATTTGTCATAATTCTATTCATCGCACTGAATGATCTTTCTACGGTAGGCGTTCCTATTGGAATACATAAAATGGATTCTGATAATTTTTTCAGATGTTCATAACCAATATTTGCTTCAAGAAGGTCAGTTATTGGATATCCGTTTGTTTTAACTTTCTGTGAAGCAACAAACATAAAAGACTTATAATCTGATAATACTCCATCTTTTTCATTTTCATTTAAAGAAAAACAATCACATAACTGTTCAATAATTTTTTCTGATGAATTTGAAAATGATTTGTAATCTTCGAATATTGCACACCCTTCGATAAGTGTTAAAGCTGTGTCATTAAATCGACGGTTCATTTCTTTGATTGTTTGTTCCAAAAACTGTGAAAGGCAAGATATTGTTTCTTTGAAATAATCGTCTTTTTTTTAGTGAATTAAGTTTACTTGAAATATCAGTAGCATTTTTAATGATGGTACTTTTATTCACTGAATCTTGTTTTAAACCTTCTAAAATTTTATTTAAGTGACATGTAGTACTTTTAATTAATGTTGGCAAAGCTGAAATACAAATTGTAGGACCTTGCAGTGTTAAACTTAAATTAGAGATTGCGCCTAATATTTCATCCAGTCCACACAAAAGTACTATAAAATTTTCTTCGCGGAGACTTAGTAAAATTCCACCGGCCAAAGATGCTAAATCTGCGCCATCTTGATGAATGTGTTCACAAGTAGTAGTTATAGCAATATATGACTGTTTAATTGCATGAACTATTTTATAATGACTTAACCACCGAATTTCAATAGCCTCAGGTATTTTTAATATTGGATCATTTAAAATCGCTTGTATTTTATGAAGCAGTTTTTCTCGTTTAGGAGATTGATGAAACAGTTTATAAATATCTTTCAATACATGGAACACACGTTTAATTTTAGGAAATTTGTTGCGCATACTAGTTAATGCAAGTGATAATACGTGAGCTCGACAGTGAATATATGGCACTTCTCTTCCAGCTTTATCGGATACAAATCTACGAACTCCACCTTTATTTCCGGACATGTTTGATGCCCCATCAAAACCACAAGCTATAATATTATCATAGGACAAATTATGCTTAGTTAACTCATTGCTTATTGCATCTATGATTGTTTGAGCTTTAGTATCAGATAAAGCAACAATATTAAGAAATCTCTCAACTGGTTGATTATTTTTAACGAAGCGAACACATATAGATAATTCAGATTTATTATTTATGTTTGTACTTTCATCGGCTAATAAAGAAAATTTTTTCCCGTATATTTCTTTGTCTAACTTAGCATCTAATATTTCTGAAGCACAACATAATAGCTCACTAGCTGTAGCTTTACTCGTGTATGTTGAGCGGTCACTATTTGCATTAATCCAATTTTGAAGTGAATCGCTGGTTTTCACAATTAATTGCTTAATTAATGGCTCATATTTAGTTGTATGAGCTATTTCTTCTTTCACTAAAAAATAAACAGATCGGAAAAGGTATGATAAATGTTTGCGGTTTATTTTACATTCTTCAGAATTTTGATTTAAAATTTGATTATATACAGGGTTTTTTAAAGCTACCAAAGCAAGTTTTTCTAGTTCTACACTACGAATATGTGACGCAGAATATGTATGTTTATTTAATTTTCCATCTTTTCCCAAAGCATTTTTATAGTTTTGGAATGGTGTTTTAACAAAAATTCCTCTTGAGCTAGCAAATAACGCTGAATCGTTGATTACATGTTTTTCACATAATTTACAAAAAGCACCAAATCTCTGATTATCAAAATAAAGCCAAGGATAATCTGCTTCCCATTTAGTGTTATACAATCGATTTACTTTACCTTGTTTCGATGAACTACTAGTTAATGTAACTGGGTTCTCTGGTAGGTTATCTAAAATAAAAATTATAAAAACATTAAATAATAAAATTAAATATTTCTAAGTAGAATGTAGATTATCCAAAATATATTTTACCTTCAGTTGAAGAGTTAGTTACAATATCTTGATTTATGTTAATAGAATCTGTTGAATCTACAATTTTGGTTTTTTTATTAGATGAAAAATAATCTTTGATTGATCGTTTTGACATTTTTAATTTTATAAACAAAAGAAGCGTATTTGCCACAAAACTATTACAATCACAAAATACAAAATAATAATAACTAGGTAATTTTTTCTACGTTAATATTGACTATAACAGAGACGCGTGATTTTTAAACTGCGAGGTGGTGTCTACCGTCTAACATTAGGATTAAGTAACCCAATAAATTAAATAACATTAATATAATATGTTCGCGCAAGTTATCGAGTGCGATAACTTCAAATAGATATTAATGCCGCCCTAATCGCGACTCCTCTCTTCTGGGGTCGATGGCCCTATTATGTGCTATTTTAAAATCGATTGCCCGACAGTAAAAACGAATTAGTAGGTCAACGGCCCTAACAATCACGTATCTTTACGGAATTATAACCGCCGTAAAGATTACGTATAGATATTGCCCTATCTTAGGTGATATAGGGTCATTGGTCACTAATTTCGAATAGCATATTTTTTGGTGTTGTCGGAGACACCGGCAAAAAGGAATAGTGTCTCCTCGGTGCGACGCCTTCGTGGTAACAAGTTGTCGGCACGTTGCCGCCTCAGACCGTCTTGTGAACAGTGTTTCCAATTATATTATTTTAACGGGCTGTGTAATATGCACCTAGACCATTCAAATTGTTTCATTAATAAATAAATCATTTATTTACTGACATTTAACCGGGGGGGGGGGGGAAAACAAAACTTCAGGGGGGGCAGTTGCCCTCCCTGATGTATACCTGGATTCAACACTGGATACAACCCATTACTCAAATGTGATAGCGGTTTTGTATTAAATTCATAAGTTGTCTTGAAAAAATTGGTAATACCACCAGTTAGAGTTCTCAAAGCTGATAAACTAGTGGAAATCAGTATGAACGGTAATACATTATATTTTTTTCGCTATTGCCATTATTTTTGGGACTTTAATCTTTTTGGTTTTGAATGCGTTTTGTGCAACAGCTATACATTTTTTTGCTCAATTTCAACAAGTTTTTTTTCACCAATTTTTTTCTTTATAATGTTTTTAGTAGTTCCTATGCTGCTTTAAAACCACATTCAGTATCTATTTTACATTATACTTTCATGGCTGTAGTCACGTCTCAAGCCACTGATTTTTCTTTTAAACAAGATTTTTTCGAATTGAACCTATCCCAGGTTCGTTGTTTTAGTATATGGTCAGCTTCGTTACGATCTATGATAGAGTTACTTCTGCCGCATGCGATATCGTGCTCTCTGCAAGCAGAGTCCACAGGATTTATATATACCGTTATCACCGCGAGCTAAACGTTTTTTTTTTTTTAATTTGTACCAGGTCTGCAATATTGGTAACCTACAAAGAAAAAAAAATTTTAATTATGATAAATAGTCTTAGAATTCGGTTGAGGGATAAGGGAACTTCTCGATATTGACCAGTCATAATATTGTAACACTATCGCGATCTTGACACATATAATTAAATATTTCAATACTATACCTAACTTTTTAATTTGTCCAGTATTTATTACGTATTTATTTACGATACTTGCTAGTTTCGGCCCATAGTGGGTTAAACACCAATAAAATTTAAAAAACTATTCTCTTATTGTGAGTTCTCTGAAATCGTAATTTTTTAGTTATTTATTTATAAGTCTCTGTAGCGCGAGGCATCCGAAGTAGCGGGGAATTTGGACAGATGCCCACCCCTTTCTACATCGTCCATTCGCAATGATGCTGGCTAAATTTGTAAGTCAACACAATTGATATTGTTGTTAAAACCCGCAACACCGTTACATCTATTTTCGTTCATATTGAAATGTTAGTACTTATCTTTGTTACTGTTCTGTGTGATCTAGAGAAGAGAGAACTGTCGTTTATTCGTTTTTCTCTCCTTTGTGTTGGCTTAAGCGCTAAACGCGTATGTTTATTAACGATAAGAATACCGTAGTACCAATAATCGAGTTTTTGCAAAGGTACCTAAAACAAACGGTTTGAATATTAAAGATTGTTTCAGTGATGAATCGATGTTAAAGTTATTTGTTATTTTACTAAAATGCTTACTTCAATCATTAAACCGTTTTTTCCTGTGTTCCACAGCTTGGAATTCCTGGTATCTATGATCTATGATGTCTACTAGTTGGTTCACAGAATAAACAGAACGGAATTATTTTTATTTAACGTGGACTTTTATGGGAGATGATAAAATCGTGTCCAACATTTTGTAAAATTAAATGTGCTGCCACGTACGGGGAAATTACCATTTTTCTTTATTTCGTGTAACACTGTTAATTCATTCAAATTTGCATTCAAAGTTCAAACCAATTATTGTTTTTTAAGAAATTAAATTTTTAGTTTCTACTTCCTATTAAAGTACTATTAAAGTATTTAGTTTATGTTCAACGTTGTGGGTAAATGAACAAAATAACACATACATAGCAGATTATTGCTGTGACGTTACATAATCTGTAAGAACACCTCAAGTTTACATTTACTAGATTGAGTTAAGTAAGTTGTGAAAATCCAAACTTTTACTACAGTATAATTAAATATATTTTTTTCATATAATATTTGTAATTATCAAAAACAATTTATATATAGCAATTATTACAATTAATAATACAAAATATAATAATCAACAGTCTTAACAAAATCATCACTAATTTAATAGGACAATTCAGACTTGATAGTTACAATGGAATATTAGTAATTGTATTTTTATAAGAAGTTACAATATAATAATATAAAATATTTTAAAAGTTCTGTTTGTTTGTGTTTGTGCTTATAATTATTAAAATATTGAAACATTTTCAATAAAACAAATTTTTTAAATAATAATTGTATGACATGATATTACTACAGTACTCCCTCGTTAATACGAACACGACGGGACCACAAAATAACCTGTTCGTGTCAACAAAATGTGTGCAAACCAATACGTTTAACACGAATTTGTTCGTATAAATGTACATTACTTTGGTACATACTACATATAAACTAATATTTTTAATTAATTAATTACTACGCTACATTACATATAAAGAAATATTTTTAATACATTTTTTCAAAAAAAAAAAAAAAATTAATTTAAAACTCACGTCGGTTTAAAAAATTGAGTAATAGGTTTCTGGGTGAATGTAACTTGACATATATATGTACATAGTAGGGATAAGATGAGATATCGATAAAACTGTGTTATAAAGATTAAATGACTAATGACTACATACTGTATACGAGTAATAAGACGAAAATAGATACATATGTATGTATGTATTGACATTTTTCTGTTCGTATTAATCAACAAAACGACAATATGGTACCTAAAATTTGTTCGAGTTTCGTGTTAACCGAAATAATTCGTATAAATCGAGGAAGTAAAAAAAAAACCATATTTTATAGTATAGAGCTTTTCTCGGGACCGAAAAACCTGTTTGCGTTATCCAATAATTTATGTTAACCGAGTTCGTGTTAACGAGGGAGTACTGTACTCTTTGAAACATGCTCTGTTTTAACCTCTACAACTCTTTTAATTTAATTGGATAATAAAATATTCATATTTTATTCGTATAAATATATTATATATTATATTTATCGTATCACCGAACTTAATATTAATTTAAGTTATTTGAATAAGATGAAATATTAGTAGACCTAAATTACCTAAATTAGGTATAAATATTTTTATTGCGAAGGTTTCAAGTAGCACAAAAAAATAACAAATTATTACAACAAATAACAATCAAGTTTTAAAAAGATCATTAGAAACAATCAGTGAAAAAAAAATCCAGACGAGCTATATAAAATATAAATATTCCAAAATTGCAAATTAACAGTATACCTACAAACCACATAAAACTTAAAAAAAAGGGAAATATCTGTTTCCTAGCAGCACGTTTAATTTCTCAAAATGACGTACCGTTTTTGGTCAAGCCTTAAGATACCGTTCTGTTTATTCTGTGGTTGGTTCCCGGCAAGGTGGATATATCCACCTTGGTTCCCGGATATCTACATCTAAAGTTATCATATGAATTGGTTCCGATGAGAATGATGAGATGAGATTTTACAATGATAATAAAATCGCAAGAAAATGTCGTTGGTGATTTTTCGTTGAAAATGGTGCAAAATGACGGAGGTAGATGGCGCTTCCGTTATCGTCCGGACGCGTCGATCGAATTCAATGGAGTGCGAAGACCCCATATTATTTGCCGACGACGAATTGAAAAACAGAATAGGTAGTGTTAAAATATAATGCGTTTTAAAAAATTAAGTACAAAATCGGAATCGTATTAAATATTTTGATAACGTCAAATAAGAAATGCGACATTTTATTAAAGTTAAACGCTAAAATATAATTTTGGCAAACGTACAATTTTTTAAAACTTTTTTAATTCATTAGTAAACCAAATTAATTTTGTGTTTTATTCCGTACCCTAGTTTTCACTTAGAATTTCCGCCAGGGCCGTTTGATTTTTAAACTTTAAATAATTTATAATACACATTTTTATTTTATATTACTTAATGTTATTTTTTATAAATTATAATGTATAAAATATCCATATATGCTATAACTCTATAAATATATTATAATATTTTAGTTATTGTATGTATGCAACATTTTTATAACTTAATAAATATATCATGTGTGCTCAACGTACGCACTTTAAATAAAGTATAAAAATGAATCAAATTGTTGCGATGATATAGACCTAATTTATATATTTACAAATTTGATTTCTTTTAAAATTTGATCACGGAATGTATAGATATGTTAGGTACCTAAACATTACACCAGCAGATGTGTCAATATTATCTTGCGCGAGTTTACTCTAAATATGTAAATCTATAATATTATTATAATATATAATATATAAACACCAATGGCATGCGTACTTACCCATAAATGTTGAATATAGGTAGATAATATTTTAATATACCCTATAATATGATATGTATTAGACATTTAGACGTATATTTAAAATCTGAACATTCATAGTTTAATACCTATTTTTATATATCGAACACTGTTGCCCAATAAATACATTTATTTATTATATTATATTGATTTATTGATTACAAAATTTAGTTCACGACGTTCACGTAGGTATATATAAATAGGTTGTTTGATTGAAAATCACTTTGGTTTTACGTTACGTTTCAATCAGTGTTTAAAGTAACGGCTATAAGTCTATAACGAATCTTTATATATGCATATAAATAATTATATACGTATAACCCCCTCAATAGTAGAGTCAGAATTGACCTCGACGTAACTCAGTAATAAAATTGTGTTAATATCTTATAGGACGCGTGCGAAATTATATTACTTCACGTTTTCGCATTGGTGTATTTACGTATTTGTATCATATACATGATACCTATTACCTATACATATATAAATTTCGAAGGACATATTTGTATAGCTTGCTGCAATTTCAGGCATTAAGTTTCTTCTAATACATATACTTACCAATTGATTTGGCAATATTAATTAAGGGTGTATTTTATAATATACCTACTTATTACCTTTACAATTTATATATTCATTTTTCGTATAATATGTACAGTGTACACTGTATGTATAATAATTTGGTGATAATCGCTTCCGGATTGCAATTACACCTGCGAGACTCATTGAATATACCTAGGTAGTAGGTAATCCGCAAGACAAATAGGTGGTACCTGTTTACGACGACAACGCTCATGTAGGTATACATAACCTGTAGTTACTGTAAATATGTATATCCATCTGATATAAAGAAAAATACAAAATTGTCAAAAATATCTATATAAGTATATTTATCTATGATAAATATTATTATTTATTAGTTATTATCTATTGATATTCTTTATATATACCTATAATATATTATGAATTGCAGTTTTAAATTAAGTTTTTTAACTTTAACATATCTATTAATATTATTTTGAGTTAATATATACAATAAGAGATAAAACATTTTAATACTATATTATACTACGAATAAGACAGTTAAAAGTATATTTGAAATATGAATATACGTCTATTCTGAAAATTATTTTAAATAAACATAGTTATAATTTTTGTAAGTGTATTTTTTTTCATCAGCTATAATTATTTGAATTAATTTTCTTTTACTGTAGATACCTGGAAACCCAAGTATAATTCAAAAAATATTATTCTACGTATTGTAAAATTATTATCTATAATTTAACTTTATCCTTATTATTTTTTTAACAGGTTAGACTTTTTAATCATATAAAAATGTTTTATGAGTATAATTATTATACATTTAACATAACTCTATAGTAATTTATATGGTATTATACATAATACCTACCTTTATACGTATAATATACATGGAAATTTGTTGTTCATATAAATAACTGTATTTTGTATTAAAGTTTTTAAAAACCAAGCTCCTCCATTCTATAGACATTTATTAATGCTAGTACCTATACAATATTCATATAACATTAAATCGAATAATAATATAATAAATGAACTACATTTGTTTGTTTGCTATATCTGTTCACATATTTATAAAACATATTATAGTAAGTTATGTGGTATTGTAAATTTATAAAAAAAATTGTCTACGTCTTGTGCAGTAGAATTTTAAATATGCAAGTGTAAAATTTTCTTAGCAAAAAACAATAAAAAAAAAAAAGATATATATATATAAATTAAAGGGCAGTAGTTAATAATTACTCACTTTTTCGAACATTTAAATAGAGAAAATTAGTAAAAAGAAAAACTGACTAAATATAGGAACTTATATTTTAGTGCTTTAGTATACGATGATATTTCGCTAAGAGTACATTGTACGTGTATGGTGTATATAGATGATACAGTTTAATATTAGGTACATATATAATGCATTTTTGAGATAACGATTGATGAACGTTTGGAATATGTCGAGAAAAAGGATGTGCCGTGAACTTTTATGAATAGCAGGGTCGTCAAATAAAACAAATGAAAAATATTATTGTTGGGTATTTTTTAATAGATTGTTTAACGATAATTGGAACCAACATAATTTAGAGGATTCATGCAGTTATACTTTCTGTTTTGTCGCAATATTAAGTATTATTTGTTTTTATTAATAACAAACACAGTAAAAACATTTATTAATAGAATAACGATGGATTATTAATTTATTTCTAATTAAATCGTAGGTTTTATGTTTATATATGCAAATATATAAATTAATTGTTTTTTGTCTTTATAAAGTCTTAATAAGCTTGAAACCTCATCCTTGCATTGCCTTAAAAAACACTGGTACCTTGATCTAATAAAAAATAAAAATATATTTATGTATATATTTTATCCTCCATTGAAATTTTAGCTATAATAATAATAGTGATTTCATATTTTTATGTAATTAACAGCCAACATTAATTTTACTACCTATATACCTACGCACATTTAAGGAAGTTATTCTGCATTTATTATTATTTACCAATATAAAATATTCAATATTTTAGATATACTTACAATAAAATATTTTCGTATTTCAAAATTTATTTTTATTTTCTAACAAAAATAATTAGTATCAAACATGATTGCGCATGCAATTGGAGTACAAACGTCAGTATATTATAAATTATATATGTACAAGCAATGTACTATACACCTTTAGGTACTCCATGCTTATAAATAAACTTAAAAGTTTAAAGAAGTATAAATAGGTACAGTTATATCAGTTAAGAGGTTTAACATTTACGCAGAGAATCGAGAGAATAATGTCTACTACCTATTAAAGATTTGAAGCGTAATGTAGTTCTTTTAAAAACTGTGTGATAATATTTATAGTTTTGTGTTAAAAGCTTTTAAGAGTGATTACTAGAAATATATATACTTAGGTTTATATAAATACTCTTAAATTTCTTTTATGTATTATAAAATAAGACAGTTACATTATATATGTGTTTAAAGTCTGTATAGTGCATACTTATAATAGGCTCGAGACTCGAGTCATATGTATGAATGTATATAATCTTATGTAATAGATCTCTCTATATTTTGATTATTATATGTATTTAATAAGCAAAATCTTATTACATTGTAGAATTTACATTGTATTTGTTTAATGATTAAACATTTTTAAACATTAGTAGTCATAAATATACATGTTACGGGCAATTTAGAATACAATGTGGTTCTGTCCGGGCAATGTAAAATTGTGAATTTTTTTTAGCCAACTAATATTATTTTAAATTTTATTATTTACCAATTTATAATAATTTATAGTATTGATTATTTAAAAAAACAACAATGATTTTTAATTTTATTTATTTATTTATTATAATATAATAAATATTTTGATGAAATAACAAAAAAAATGAACAAATTTTATCATTTTATTTTTTTAAATTATTGTTCTTATGTTGTTGATTGATTTTATAAGACAGCTATTAGTTAATAGTAAAATTGCAATTATTTACAAATTGTATTTTATTTATTTTAAAAATAACATAATAATATTAGTTTTTTGTTTTGTCATTCCATCAGTATATTATACAATTTTAATAACAATTATTGCTATTAAAATTTAAAAAAAAAAAAAATATTAGTGGTTCACAATTTCACATTGCCCGGGCAATGTACACTATGATCGATATTCTTTATACATTGTCCGTAACATATATTTCCATACAACAATAATTCTTCACAATTTTTAGTCTATATCTTTATACGAAAGTCTATAGACCACTTAAATGTTTAAAATAAATATTGTGTACTTTATTTACAAATATATTATACCTATATCTGTTTGAGATTGTTCGTTGCAAATATCGTCAATAAGACTTTTTTGATCTGCCAATCTGCGTAACAAATGGAATCCTTTCAAACAAACATAAATATCACAAAGTAAAAAAAAAAAAGTCGGAGATAATCAGATAATCAATTTTATCGAAACAGTATCGCAGCATAATACAAGTATATATTATATAAATATAAACGCGCTACTTCAACAGTATTAGGGTAGGTACGAGGTAGGTACCTACTACAATATATTAAAAGGAGTAAAAAATTAACAAGCGCATATTATATACAATTAAGTATACACAGGTATTACATTCCGAGTGCATTCTATGTATACCTAGTATGTCTTAATAAATATCCCATTGGAAAAGTAAATTAACGATTTCGAAAGGGGAACGGGTTATAAAGTTTGTTGGACTGACAGGTGGCGGCATCTGACGACGTGCCGCCGTCTCCGGTTGACGTATAGATGTATTATATACATATATTATATTATATATACAACGTCGCTGGCGCGCGCGCTCTCGTGTATGTGCGTATGTCATGATGGCCGAGACGGTCGGTCTCATTAAGTGGGAGGCGCCATATTATGGCCATTTCCATACACCTTCCACGTATACACATACACATACACTCGAGTCAAATAAAATAATAATAATAATGAAAAAAAAAAAAAAAAATAGTAGAGAGAGAAAAAAATACGCATACACAAGCACAGAAAAACACAAGTACACAGACACACACGCGCGCGGAATGAACCCACGTACGTATATCGTATACGTAATAACGCTGAAATTATCGAGGGGAAGATAATTGTCGCCCGGCGGAAACCACCGCCGCCGTACACACTATGTAGCACAGAAAAACCTGACAAGTCGTCACAGCGTTGTGCCGGTGGTGGGATACACGCGCTGTACGCCGCACGAACGCGAGTAGGGAAGAAAGGAAGAAAAAAAAAAATAATAACAAAAAACGGAAAACGAAAAAATAGTAAAGCTAATAATATTTTCATGAGTGCGAACATGGTTTGCTCGTGTTTCGTCCGGCCGCGGTGGATGCGGGAAAAATCGTGGAAATGTGATAAATAAAAATACAACGTCGTTCGCGCATTTTCGTTTCGTTGCCGTCGTCGGCCGTACAGGTATCTACCATAATATAAATATATAACACACATATATCATAATCCACACAAACGCACACACACACACACATACACACACACACACACACGAAAACGAGCAATATTAAACGTTTGTACTCGTCTCTCTCTCTTTCTCTCTCTCACACACACATACACACATACCCACTCATACACATTCGTTCGCACGTATTTCGTTGTATACATACACATATATAAATATATATATTTATATTATATTGTGTATAAATAATATTATACACATGTGCGCGTGGGCGAGTGACGAGTCGCAGCAGAGTGCGCGTGTGGGTTATGGAAGAAAATGACCGGCGGAACCGAGCGGATAGTCGTCTGCAGCAGCAGCAAGAAAATACTGCAGAACTCGGGCATCACAAGAACGACGACCGCGACGGAGCGACCATCATGAGCGTAAGTCCGACACACACGCTTATAAAAATTATTATTTTTATGATATTATGTAATATTATCATAATACTCATATAGGTACTAAATATATTGTATTGATTGCATAGTGTAACAGCGAACTATCAAACGCGTATCACGTTAAATAAACTACGATTTTTTCGGATTTTCGACTAAAGTCCTGTTAAGACGTGTTTTTTTCCAGCTCGCATAGAAAATAATAAAAATAAAAATTCACTACGGTTATATACCACCTATACCTACCTATTAAATTATTCGTTCTGCGGTATTTCCGTGCGCCAAAAACTTAAAGGTATTCAAACAAAATGCATAGCTGCAAAAAGTCTTAAATCTCATCGATATTCGCGAATGATGCCTGTACGGCATCGTCCGCGCTAAGAATTGCGCAAATTTCGGCGATGCGCGCGTTTCGTCGGAAAGTTCGTTCCGTTTCGGCTCATATTTTCGCGGTACACACGATATGTGCAGAAGGTATGCGAATGCATTACGATGATATATTACCATGTCACCATTTATGTTTAAAATTATGTTATTGTACGTACGAGGACGATGTCCGTTGAGAAAAACAGATGTTTTGTCACGTAGCGCGTGTTTAAATTGAGATGAATGCGTGTGCGTTGTCTAGCAAGCAGGGACGCGCACGGAAAGGATATCGCAGGTGTGTGAAATCGTTACGAATCCTGGGGTTGTTTTTTATTTTTCACAACATCAGAAATAAATTGATTGATCGACAATAACGGTGTGTATAATAGAAAGAACAGCCGTATAATGATTAGACGCCCGTTCGCTCATAACAAGCGCGTAACTTGGACGTATATCAAAGGTGTCGAGTCATCTGGTTAACAAACTCGATAATAATAACATCTTCATTGTCGGACTCTTTGGCGTATCTGTGTAGATTTATATTTAGGCACGATAGACCATAACAATAATCATATATAATATGTAGGTACCTCCTATATTGTACATTTGTACCTGTAATACAAATATAATTGAATCATTATTTATCGTAGTCACATGTTTTTAAATAAAATATATAATATAGTTTAAGTATACTAATATACTTATAGGTACTATAGAAATATATATATAAGTATGATCTGATAATTTTTTAAGTAACTAGTAAAACTATTACATAAATATATATCATGTAATAATTTATCTTCTTCGCAAAGTGTGCAATGGTAAATGCAATTTTCAAAAAATGATTAATACTTTGAAATAATAACGTAAAACAACTTGTCATTTTTTTTTTTTTTTGTACACTATAAATGTGTTATTATAAAAATATTCTTATATCTTTGTAATAATTGCTTAAATAATTACCAATTAATATTAGATATTTTAAAAAAGAGCTTATATTATTTTAAAACCAGTTACAATAATAATGATTGAATAAATTAATATCTTCGTATAAATTATTAACACTTATTTACTTTGTTCTATAAAAAATAATATTACGTTTTTATTTTGCTACGAGAAATGAATTAAAATTAATTTATATACTAAGACATTAGGTTCAATATAATATAATGAATTGTTCTCAATATTTTATATACTAAATATACTTATAAATTATAACTATAGACTTTAATTTATAGAATGAATACAAAAAAAGAATTAAATTATATTTTTTATTTTATATCTCTTTAATTAAAATAAATAATAAGTACATGTTCATTTTAATTTATCGGATAATAAACTTAGGAAGGGACTTGTATGTTTAATTTAAAATAAGCTGAATTTTTTTATATATTTATGTTTTAAAATTAAATAATAATTATAAATATACTTTTAATTACAGTTTGTAATGTAAGAATACAAAAATTTAGGAAAATAAACAAAAATATTGGTGAATATATTTTTTCTTTTTAGTTTAATGTTATGCAATTGTTACTCATATTTATTTTATATTTTATAAGAAAATGTCTCTTTCAACTAAAAGTTTGACCATGACACTATATTTTATTTCTTATAAAATATTTTTAAGACATTTTTAAAATATCTAGGTCAATAAATAAAAAAAAAAAATTATTTATTTTATATTCACGAATAAAAAATAAAATATAAAATAATTTATACATGTAATGATTTGCAATAAAAAAAGAGTAAAATTTAATTCATAACTTACAATGTTATTGTTTTAAATATAATAAGAATATATTCACACATAAAAACAGTACATTACACTTAGAATATCTTGCTTATATTATATTGTTTTAACACTATTAAGTGTGTTTTAACTAAATTTTTGCTGAATTATAAGATTAGATGTTAAGACAAATTAAAATAAGTGTCACGAATATTAGGAAGACAATTATTATTAATTTTAACTATTAAAAATAAATGAATCATTTATTGTTGATAATTGATACAAGCTATCGTATAATGTATTATACAAATACCGAATGTTAAAAATTACACATAATAAAGATACTTAAAATTATACATCAAGTTATACACATACTCGTACATAATATATCTTTTGAGATTTGAGACTGATGAATATCAAGTTACACATATTTTATTAATATACATATATATATATATATATAATTAAACAATGTTCGAGGAATATTACATCAGGTTTTTTCTAATTGATTTCGTGTTGTTTTCTAGTTTGAAAGTTAGGTACACAACTTCAATAAATAAATAATAATAATAATAATAATAATAACAATAACAATAATAATTTAAATTTGATTAAGGTTTCTGGTTATTATACACGCGTAATACGTTACACATTCAGTCAATTGAATAAATCGAACACGCCGTATTTTCTAATTTGTGTCTTCGTATTATACAACCATGACAAATCTTGGGGCGTTTTTTGATCAGAAAATACCACCCACTTCGTGTGCATGTGCGTTCAACCAGATTATATTCCCGTAATCAAATAATATTTGAAATTTCTCCGTACATTTTGCGATGTCTCTCCGTTGCAACCGCATGGGTTCTACACATTTGGGCGTTAAAAATTATGTCGGAAACTAATGTCATAACTTAATTTAGTTAAGGGCTAGGTTTATACTTGATTTGTATTATTTATAAACACATATAACGTGTTATTTTTTCGATTCTCTTTTTATACAGCGCTGTACTAGGGTACATTTTTAAATGGGCAAAAAATATGATTATTAGATGTGTATCTATCATACATCTACATAGGTAATATTATTTATTAGTTATTATTGCATTACTGTGTACACATATAAAAATCATATTTATTAATTATAATTATTTAATGTTTAAGGTTATTTTATGATGGTACATTAATAAAAACGAACACAATTAATATAATTTTATTGTTTAATAACTCACAGCAGTAAAAATTTAATATTTCCTTTTTAATTTAATGTGAAATAGTAAAAGTACTGAAGATTATATTTTATAAGTCATTTTTATGTAATTTTAAAATGATATTTTTTATCATAATTATATTTTTAAGTATAAAATCGTCCTCCCGCCTAAAAACCCCTTCCTACAAATTGGGGCTCAAATAACAATCTATATTTTACCCTAAGTACTTAGGTATGAAGAAGACACATGTGACTTTCAACATCCACTCATTAATTTTCTCTATTTTATGATATAGACTACTTTTATTTCAATTACTTTTTTTCATCTTACGATCTCGATTTTTTTTACATTAATGCTCTCTTTTTTTCACAAATGTCTTCATAATAAAAACCATACTTAATTTTATTCATACTGGCTTAAAAATGGTTTGCTTTGTCATTATTATGATATTTATAATGGTTTTAAATTATTAAGATACAATAATAAAATTTATGTTAACACCTAATCAATTAAAAAGAAAAAAAAGTATATTAGAAAATATGTAAATATTGTTTTGCAATAGGATTCGGATGTTAGTGCTATAATTGTTATTAATTTTTAAAATTAATATCTAATTAATTTTCAAATACATACATAATATTCGTATTATTAAACTTAATAATGATTAAAAAATAAAATAATATCAATAAACAATAAAGTTTCTGTACAATTACTTTAATAACTACTTTATGTTTACTATTTATATTATATATTATATATATAATAGCATTATAGGCTACGAAGTTTCTGTATAGAATTTAATATATTATATATAATAAGAAAAATCGTAAATGTCCGCAAAATATATAAATTATGCGCATTTATATAGTATATATTTATACTAATCTACATGTCGGCTATAATAAAATAAAACTATTTACTTTCTAGTATATATTGCTGTTATATAATATGCGTTTAATATATGTACGATAATGGCTATGACACACGCTGTGGCTTAAGTGGTACTAAAACTAAAAAGAAAAAAAAGGCAACAATTCTTTTTCTGATGTGTACAAGTTTATATTAAATGTATAATATAGTAACATTGTATACGTATATATAAACATGTGAAATATGTATAGATACCCAATATACATATACCTACTGCTGTAGCAATAGTTTGTTAATATTATACACTAAAGTTGCGCCACTTAGTTGAATATCATATGTATATTATACAGAGTAATTCACCAAGTATGCTCATATCCATTATTTCCTTTAACAATAGGTTTTTTAAATTCTGATTTTTTGAATTTTTATGTATACTTAAACTTTAAGTCTTTAAAAGATTATATTTTCAAATATGTACTTAGATTTTTTAGTTGCAGCATAACAAATTCTATTTTTCAAATAAGAATTATCCTCTTTTTCTACAAAATTTAAATTTTTGAATATATAATTCTTTTTAAAACGTTGAAATATCTTTTTTTAAGTTTAATTAAAATTCATTAGAGTGTTTTTGAGTTATTTAGCTTTGTATACTATGAAGATAATAGGCCAATGGTCGGGACTATGGTGATTTGAAAATTATCGTTATTAATTAATTAATATTTCTACATTTTCAAATTTAAAAATTTAAAAAATTGTCTGAATATAATAATTATAAGATTCAATATTATTTAGATAATTATTTATAATTTAGTAAA